TACATGCAGTTAATCGGGGATAACTCCATGCATAGACAAGCCCAAAGGTTTAGAAAAAGGTGCAGTTTCTTTCCATTAGATTATAATGGTATTTGCAGACTAGAACACCATATTGCTCAGTGCTGTGTCATCAGATAATGAAAGACCCTAGTGTAATGCAAATTCTCTCCTCTCAAGCCCCCCTTTTCCTCTATCTTTTGTTTCTGCCTTCTCACATAATTATCATTGTCAGCAGTTCCTTTTCCTTACCCAAATCTAATGCTGTTCACTCTAATTAAAGCTTCTCTTAACCTCCAACCTTTCCTTTCTCAAAGTGCTTGGAGAAAAGGCTATTTTCTCAGTCACCTCTCAGAGAACCATATTCTTGAAGTCCGGCAGTCTGAAGTGCGACTCTGGATATAGCACAGAATGTACTTTCCCTTGATTAGTTCAATGACTGTCTCCTTTCTCATGATAACTACTTCTTTTTTCCTCTTAACCTTTGACTTCAATGCAGACTTTGGACCGTTCTTTCCTGTTACGCTACCTCCATAGATGTGTAGGCATCTCCAGTTCCCTTGTTTACCCAACTGCTGTTCGTCACTAGTAGTGGTTTCTCTTCTGCATCAAGAACCCTCCTATATAGAACTTAACAGGGCTCAGTTATTGGCCATATGCTTTCTTCCATCTACTTTCTCCCTCTCCATTATGATCTTATCGCTCCCATTTTTATCCTTTGCTATAGTTTTTCAGCCACACTCAAGTGAACATGTTATCCAATAACTTTAATGCTGCATCCTTCCCTCCAGTCTTCCTTAATTACACGTAATTTGTGGCTTCTGCTCCAGTTTCCTCCAAGACATTTATTTGAAATGTTTCTCTTAGGTAAAAGCACAAATTCATCTCCTGAACATACCTTGTTGATTTAAGAGTCAGATGAAGGCCTTTTGCCCATAATCTTGCTGCTAACCTTCACCATCAACCTCCATTCTCCTCTCCTTCCCAATTCTGACTTTGTATGTGAATGTATGGATCCCACCTGTTGAAGACTTCATATAGATCTTCATCCCATCTTGCTTTCAATCCTGCAGTTACCTTCTCTATGGCCTCCATGTCGCAGCTTCTCCAGACTCCAACATGTGCAGAAAAGCCACTGCCTGATCTCGCTCATGAAGTAACAGCATGACCACCTCAGTCCCATTCTCAAACATCTGCATTGGATTCCCTTCCTTTCAGAATTCTTCCAAAAACCTCAGTGGGTAAGCTCTATGTTACAGATCTTCTCTCTCTGTTGCTACCATACAATTTGTACAGCAATTTAAGACTGCAATAGGGGGTGAAGTTAAGCTTGTTAAATAAAGGGGAAATAAATTGGACATTAAAAACATGGAGGTTAGAAATTAAGGTCTTTTCCCCTAGAATGATAAATTAGGGCATCTGCTAGCCCACACACTGCACAGCAATTTCAGCCTTTCCTGAAGTTCCTGGATCTTCCAACAGCAGCCAGAGTTTAGAATACCTAACCAGATTTTATTTTTGTTTTATAAATTATATTTGTTTTTCACAATACCTGTGAAAGTTAAGGTGGTAAGTGGAAGGAATAAGATACTTGATGACATGAGTAGATACGCATTTGCACAGAGTCCCAGCCTCTGCACTTCCAAAAAGAGTAGTGAATACAAAGTCCTGATTAATTTTATGGGTTTCAGAGATTATGGGAAGTAATCCTGACATATTTATAAACAATTCCAAAGTTATAAACAAAAATGTCCAAGAAAGGCCTATATCTGAATATTAGCTTTAGAGGCAGAGGTTTTAATCCCAATAAATAGATAATCTCCATCTGTATTTCTAAAATATACCGTTTTATTCCAATGGTTCCTGTTACTAGTTGCTAGCTGTGTTAGTCTGATCAGACGCAATGATATTAGCAGCTGGTATGTATCTGTTGGACTATGTACCAAAAGGCCCACACAAAATAGCTTCACATTTATCACCCAGCATTTGAGACATTGCCAAACCCAATTGCTAGAATTTAATTTGGTGCTGTTTATTGGGCTGCTATGAAACTCAAACAATGAAGACAACTCTTGAGATTCAGCACAGAAGTTTTCACCCCTTATGGACTTCTATCAGTTTCTTACCGTGCCATCCAGATAGCGGTTTTGATCCTCAGCATCTTTGTCAATATCCAGTGCCAGCTACTCAAGACAGAGGAAAGCAAGTGTCAGCGTCTCCAAGTGAAATGATCAACTCCTAACATACTAAAAGCTGGTGACATTCCAAGCACACAAACAAGAGTGGCCCACCACTCCTACCACCTCCCACACATACACACAATGTGTTTGTTCAGTCCAATGAAAAAAATTGAATGTCTATTACACAGCAATAGTTGCAGTAGAAATTCCTGATATCTCCAGCATCAGAAATTCTGCCCTACAAGCAACCACAGACAGAAACTTTTGTATATGAAGTCACCATGCAAATACTGGAAAAGTGAAAATGGAAAACAGACTCCAGTATTCTGCTAATACTGTGGTCTCTGCATTAAGAAGTGTACGTAAATCAAGGTTTTTCAAGCCAATGGAACTGATTTAGTCTCAGGAATATTATCCTGAGGGAACACTGCACACACACACACACATCTTTTTCATGAATATTTTTAATATGGTTTTATTGATTCCTTCCAAAGACGGCACCCTTAACAATATATCTTTGCATATCTTGACCTCACCCCCCATTCACTTACCAAACCGAATTCCTTCTCTGGATGCCACTAAAACCAGACAATTTTGTACCCTGTAACACAGTTAAATCCCAAACAAGGGATGAGGATTTCATAAAATTCCCCAGGACATTCCAATAGCAAAAGTTAGCTACCTGGCCAGTAATAGACAGTGATGTACTTAAAAGCTTCTCAAAAGCTGAATAAATAAGACAGCCCCTTGTAACCTACTATGTACTCTCAACATCCATGTAAAACAGTAAAGAAAATGTATGATGTGAAGTTAGCAACTAACCGATTTCAGCCTGGTGACCTTGGTGGCTAGATTGTCCGCCATACGCTTATTCTCCACATCTAGCATATCGTCCACAGCATTTGGACTCTGACCTGAAAAAGTCCTATTGGTTATGATACAACAAGTGGCAATGTATTTTACTGGTTAAAATTGAGGAATGGAGTCATAATTTCTGATTTCTATTTTCAGTTCTACCACAGACTTGCTTTGACACCTTGGGCAAGTCACTTAACTTTTCTATGCCTCCATTTGCAGAGTCGTAAAATGGGGATAATAATGCTTACCTACTTTATGTGAATATTGTAAAGATCAATGCCTGTGAAGAACTTTGAGATCCTTTGATGAAAAGGTACTACAGAATTGCAAAACACTACTACTAAAACCTTATGGAGCTTGCAAGAGTCATTTACAAGGAACTACGGAAAAAACACCACACCACTGCTTTTGGGAAAATGCCTTCTTTTTAAGGCTGCTTTTCAGACAAATGCTAAATGGAAGGTTATGCAACTATGAGCAATAATATTTCAGGAAACTGTTTCTCTCAGCCCTGAACTACTGTGCCAGGTATCATTGGTCTGAAATGAATAGCAAATTCATCAGGCATTTGACAAAGACATTTTCTACATCTGAGTCCCTGCTCTAAAAAAATGCCTAATTCTGCCCTTAGCTGCACAGGTGCATATTTTGGAAAAGCTTGGGCTAGAGAGTGTGTTTGTGTACATATGCAATAATAAATAATAGTAGTTTGTTCTTCTGTAACAATTTCCATATGAGGATGTCTAAGCCAGATAGTCGTGCCAACTTAAGTAAGGAGTATTACTTAAATGGAGGAACCACTGCTGAAATCTTGGGGTGGCAGGGGAGCCTGTAGTTCATAATGAGCATGCACACACAAGTCCAAAACATCCCTCACCAGTCCTCAGTAGATTACTGATCGGCCGCACTTCTGCAGCAGCTCTACCGCTGCTGTTTCTTTGGCGGCAAGTCCTTCCCTCTGAGAGGGACTGAGGGACCTATTGCCGAAGAGCCGGACGTGCCGCCCCTTTCCATTGGCCGCCCCAAGCACCTGCTTGCTGCGCTGGTGCCTGGAGCCGGCCCTGGAAGCAAGCAGAGTGACGCCGCGCTTGGCGGACTCCCTGAAACCTGCTCACGGCCCCCACTGATCTAGAAGAGACAGCCCCATTGGAGCATCCTCCATGGCAGTGGTTGCCGGAGGGAGGGAGGTAGAGGAGTAACCCATTTCCTAGAATGTTAACTTTAAATTTGTTTTACGAAATTACTATTTAGAAAACCCCACATGCACAAGATACTTAAACAAGAAACCAAAGTGACTGCCTGATCGTACTGTCGTATCCTTTGATCCCCTCCCTAACTTCAAAACTACCAGCAAACCAAGCCAACCCCATCCACACCTATTTTGTACTGATATGCCCCTTGCTGCCCCACAGACCCACACCTAACCAACTACCCACCCCACATCTTACCAACATGGGCTGCATTGTCCTCCCACCCCAATATCTTACTGACAGGTCCCTCCCCACACCAGAGCCACCCCAAACCCACCCTCCACCCCATGCCTTACTGCCACCGTGCCATGGGCCTCATTGTCCCCCCAGTTTCCTCCAAACCCCAGCAACCCCCAGCCACTGCCAGGCCCCGCCCCACTGCCAGGCCCCGCTGCCCCACCTCACTCCCAGACCCCCACCAATAGCCAGGCCCCGCCGTTCCCTCTCCCCAGCCGGGCGCCCGGGCCCGGACAGATGGCGGCGGCCCCGAGCTCGGGACTGGGCTGGGCCCGGGGCTCCCGCTGGCCCGGGGGAGGAGACAGCGCACTGAAGCCCGGCCCTGTCTCACCTCGGCCCCAGTCCGCCATGGCCGCGTCCCGTCCCGGTGCCTCCGTATCCGGCTTCGGCCGCTGGCGGGCGGCTCCGGCTGGCGGGGGCGGGGCGCCACAGTGACTCCGCCTCCCGGGGCGGGGCCTCCCCTGCCACCGAGCCCGGGCGGCTGTGAGGGGGAGGAGACACCGGTCCGGGAGCGTCCCGCCCAGCAGCCTCCCCTCCCCTCTGACCGGATAACTGGGCCCCTCTGTCCGGACAGTTCCGATCCAGTCCCCCGGTGTCCCTCGGCTGGCCGGGCAGGGAGGCCAGGCTTGCCCATGCCGAGCAGGGTACGGGGTCGTGCCCCACCGTCTGGGGACCGACCCATGGGCAAGAGGGTGGATGCTAGTTGTGTTAGACCCATTGCAATGGGGCCCCACACCGGCCTGCGTGCTGATATAAGTCTACATCAGCAATACACCTGTGTGATCTGTGGGTCCCTGTAGGCCTGTAACCCACCCTGCTCTCTCACCCTTTTGGGTCAGTCAAGCTTAGGGTTGCCAGTTTTGGTGCCAGGTGTTCCTGGAGGTTTCATCCCATAACATGATAGGCTTTAATTAAAGATTAATCTTTTTCTCCTGGAGACTCCAGGACAATCCTGGAGAGATTCCAGCATCCTGATTGGCTGCTCCCCTTTGTTTAGGGTTTGCAGATTAGACAGTGCCACACCTGGTGATAGGCCTCAGTGCTGCAAACCATCCCCCCAGGGTTCAGTTTTTAAACCTGAGTGATAGTACTGCAATGCTGTTTGGTTTGGGCTTGTTGTAACGTGAAACATAGGAATGTTTACATTTAAAAAAAATAAGCTTTGAGTGGAATAGAAAATATTTCTATAGTTTATTTTAATTAACAAAGTCTAACATCCTGGTCTAAACTTCCTGTGTCTCCTTCTCACACTGACAAAATGTTATTTATTTATCTCTGAGCCTGCAATTTGATTCGTGTGAGCAGACGCCTGCACAGAGCCCCCGAGAGGTGCAAGGTTCCAGCGATGGGGAACAGCTGGTAGGATCTAGGCTTTAGAGAGCTCCATCAGCGGGACCACTCAGGGAGGAACTCTCTGCGTGGCAGTAAGTATTTACACCATTGGGACACCGAGAATGAACAAAGAGGGAGATGGAAGAGATCAGAAAAACGGTGACTGAGAAGTGATATTTAGCACATGCCTTGTTTGTTCCATAATGTTTGCTATTTTATATTTCATAGCTTTAAATATTACATATTTAAAAAAAAAAACGAATAGGCGAAAAACATAGAGAAAGAACAGGTTTGCCCAGCCCTGCTTGATTATTTTACGTTAGGAATTTTTTTTTCATCTGACTCAGTCTCAAACACAATGGGAGAGGAGAGGATTTTTCATTGTTTGTCATTAATCCTACCAGAAAAAGGGTGTTCAGCATCCATTGTTTAACATTCTTATGGCGGATCCCTGGAAGTTAACTCTGCCCCTCCCCAGATTCCAAACTTCCAGTAATGCAGCTTTTCTTTTGTCTGTGTCTTCTTCCCTACCCGAGCTGCTGCCACCCACCCCTTCTGAATCGGTTATCGGATGCAGCGTTAACAGCACGGGTCACAACTTCCGTATGAGTCACACACACACAAACCCTCCCTTTCCCGCTCGCCTTGGACAGTGGGGAGGAGAGAAAGATCTTCTCTTTCCCCCTACCCTGCCCTAGGAACAGCAACTCAGCCGGGCAAATGACACCGCATTCCACCCTGCCTCCCGCGTCCCAGCTTGAAAAAACAAGTTTTTTTGTTTAAAAACAAAGCAGGTGCCCTCACTAAACGTTGCATTGGAGGGACAGCTGCTGTGTTCAGGAATAAGGCAGGAAATCTGAGCAAGGAAAGCTAAAGTAAAGGTAATGTGCTTTTTATATCTATCTATCTATCATTTAACATATAGTAGCTCCTAATGTTTGTTTGTTTTTTCATCCTGTTTTTCCATCTTGCATCTGTACTCTTTTTTTCATTGATCTGGAAGATGGAGTTGTTTCAACTGATTTAGCAACATTTTATCATTTAAAATCTAATCTAATAATTATTATAATGGTTATTGTTAATTGTTGCAGACATTTTGCTTCTATGCCCTCTGTCTCTACTGCAGAGTCCCAGGCCCTACTTTTAGTAAAATAGTTACTATTTGTCCCATTCTGTCCCTTCAAAATGATCATGATTTCTGAAAAGATTGATTTATTATGAAAGGTTAAAAAACATGCACATGTGTAGTTTGGCTAAACAAAGACTAAGGCCCCGATTCTGCAAAGACCTTACACACATGCTGAACTTTACAACCAGGAGTAAAAAGAAAAGGAGTACTTGTGGCACCTTAGAGACTAACAAATTTATTAGAGCATAAGCTTTCGTGGGCTACAGCCCACTTCTTCGGATGCAGTTCCCCTGATTTCAAGGGACTGCTCACAGAACTAAAGTTAAGCACATGTTTAAATGTTTGCAGAACCAGAGGGAGGAGCACAAAGACCAGCTTCTATATATTTTTGGTGGGTGTGGGCATCAAAGACAGACTGGTACTAGGTGTGGAATTAAAACTAATGGGATGAGTTCCTCATGAGTTAAACAGAAAAATGCAAGATGGAAAAACAGGATGAAAATTCCAAATAGTGAGGTCTAAATGCCCTAGTCCCATGGGAAGTGGTGGAAGCTCTATCACACTGGCCTGGACAAAGAGCTGGAGAATATGCTGTAGGGAACAATCCTGCAATGGCCCAAAGGGGGTGGATTAGATGATCCACCTTTTCCATCTTTAAATCTACAACTGTATAGAATTTCTTTTAGGGTGTTTTTTTGAGGGGGGTGGGATTGGGGGGTGGTTGGTACTTCTTGAGAGCTGTGTTACTCTCTGTCTTCCATTTGGGGGAGGGATAGCTCAGTGGTTTGAGCATTGGCCTGCTAAACCCAGGGTTGTGAGTTCAATCCTTGAGGGGGCCACTTAGGGATCTGGGGCAAAAACAATACTTGGTCCTGCTAGTGAAGGCAGGGGGCTGGACTTGATGACCTTTCAAGGTCCCTTCCAGTTCTAGGAGATAGGATATCTCCATTAATTTAGAAATTTATTTATTTATTTCCTAAATGGCCCTATTAGTAGCTCTCATGCTTCAGGGTGCACATCATGGTGAGTGGTCAGTAGGCACCCTTCAGCTTTATTGTGGTAATGCCATAGAATCGGTGCACACCCTGCAATGAGCTCTGGATGGAGCTCCACTGAAGTCGGGGGTGGGGGTTTGCAGGAGACTCATCGCAGGATCATGGCCTTACTGTGTAATTTTACACTACCAATATTTAGTGCAGAATTAACATCTAGCTATAGAAAATATAAACATACATAAACTTATGGACTCGCACTCAATAATGTATTATATTATTTATTAACTATGTCTCTCAGGACCATGTATCAACACAAGGCTTTACAAACAACCTTAAACACATGCCTAGCCCCAAAGAATCTGAGTATTATCTGCATATAAATACACATCTAATTATTTAATATCATTGTAAAATACATTGGTTTCCTGGCTGATACAAGCTTTGGCCTATAGATGCCTTTTATCTGTCCTCAAGACAGGAGTTTTTATAGTGCGTTCGGTATATCCTCCCATCTTCTCCAATTACAGAGCTATACAGGCGCCTCAGTATTCTAGATTCTTTGTTGAACCAACAGACCAAAATCCCAGTGCTTTTAATTGAGGAACTTCTTCATGCCACCTTAAAGGGCAGCTCCACCTTAACCCAGCCTGGATGGTGCTTGTCTGTCTATTGTGCATCTCTTTTACTCCACAGGGTCATTTCTGGGATTTTGCTGTGTGATAACAGAAATCAGGACAGTGGGTGGAGGAGGAGGGCAGCAGGGAGCTGTAGTTATCTGTTCTGTGTTAATCTTCCGGCTGGGAAAGGGAGGGAGGTTTCCTAAGTGCGTTGGTGGGAGGGCATTTATTAAACATTGGAAAGCAGAGAGAGGAGGAAGAGGATTAAAGGGCGAGAGAAAGAGAGGGAGTTAGTGCCTGATTTTACAGGGGTCATCCATCTGCTCTGCCCTTTGGATGTAACAGTGAGCCATTTCACTTGCTTTTCTCTCTCTGTTCCTCCCCTCTCCCTCCCAGTTGTCTGTGTATCAAGGTCCCTGTGCATCGGTAATTATCCGGGTAATTATCCGGCAACGCTGCAAGGCCGCCCACCCCACCCCATATCATTCCAATCCATATCCAAGCTGCTAGGGCAATGGAGCTCAAGAATGTGGTAGAGACTGTGGAAAGCGGGGAACAAGACGCTATCCTCAAGGTGCTGCAGATCTACAACCAGGAGGTGAGTGTTGTGTTTGTGCTTGGCCTGAGCCAGTCCTCAGCTTTCCCTGTTTACGTGTCTGGGAGCAGGTTGGCTGGAGAAGCCATGCTGTGGGATTTCTGTGCCACCCAGCTGTCCCCGTCTGTCTCCTCTACCTACATCTGTCTGTGCATCGCTTCAATAAAACTGCCATTAAGCTGCTTAGCGGGTAAATCTTTTGTTTGTAGCTTCAGTGGTTCCTGCATGTTTTGACAGTGACTGTTCCTAAGCATCTAGTAAGCATCTCCCCTTCCTGCTTCACTTATGTACTGGAAATAAAGCACTCAGGCTGGATTTTTAGCATCAAGGGTGCAAGGGAAACATGGCAGGGAAGTGAATTTCCATGCAGGGGCTAAATAGTGAGCGATAGAAAGGAGGAGCCCTTTATGGTAAACGAAGGTTTGGAGGTAACATATGAGGCCTAAGGAGGAAGCTATGGATGGAGCAGAATTATTATGGTTCACAATTAAAGATAATTAAGGAAGCACTTTGACAGTAGGGATTTGCCACATATGCTTCATCTGAAAGTTGATGATAAGAGGAATCAAAAATAGGACGTGAAAAGAACAAACTGCTAGGAATGAGCGATTGCTGCTACCAGCTTGGAAATGTTTCAAAACATTACACGAATAGGCTCACATGACGTTTTCAGCCCAGGAACCAATACGCAAGTGCAGGTGAAATTCACTTCAAAGGAGTCACCTTAGGAATGAATTTGGCCCATCAGATCCTACATGACTCATTCTGCATCACGCGGAAGTAGGTGGAAAGTGAGCAGAGAAAGCTGCAAATATTGTTGCACAAGTGTCATTTTCCAGGAAAAAATTGTGCGTGCTACATCTGTTCCAACCGGGCAATTTTAATCCAGTAGAAGTCTCAATTAAGAAACAGTAGAACCCCATAAAAGTGACGTACAGCAAAAATAACACAAACCGTGGCAGATGAAATACAGGCAACCCCGAGCATACAGGCAGAATTATTATGGTTCACAATTAAAGATAATTAAGGAAGCACTTTGACAGTAGGGATGCCTGTATGCTCGGGGTTCTGCTGATCGCCATATTTGGGGTCGGGAAGGAATTTTCCTCCAGGGTAGATTGGCAGTGGCCCTGGAGGTTTTTCGCCTTCCTCCGCAGCATAGGGCAGGGGTCGCAAGCTGGAAGATTCTCTGTAACTTGAAGTCTTTAGATCACGATCTGGAGACTTCAACAGCAGAGTTAAGGGAAACTGGGGGGGTCAGCTTTTGTGGCCTGCATCATGCGGGAGGTCAGACTAGATGACCATATTGGTCCCTTCTGACCTTAAAGTCTATGAGTCTAAATATAAGAGGAATTAAGACGCTAAGAGGAAATTTGAAGAGCATATAGCTAAACATAGCAGAACAAACACCAAGACATTTTTTGAGAGTATATCGGAAGCCGGGGAGAGAGTTAGCAAGTCGGCTAGACTGTCAGGGAGCAATAAAGGAGGATAAGACATTGTCTTAGCTTCTCTGCAATGTCTTTGTGTCAGTCTTCACCACAGAAGATGATGGGAGATCCCTGCCCTAGATATATTCTTTTCAACAAATGGGCATGAAAGGAAGTTAACATTATGGTGCCTGAAGAATTCATGTCAGGCTGTTTAATACATTTATAAAGGATCTGGAAGACATTGCGAACAGTGGAGGAGGTCAAATTTGCAGATAACAGACAATTATGTAAGTCTCTCAAGACTACAAAAGAATGTCAGGAATTCCTGAGGGACCCTACAACAGACCGGATCTCCAAAGCCCATTGAAGTAAATGGCAAGACTATCACTGACTTCAGTGGGTGCTGGATCAGATGCCAATAGGCAATTGAGCAACACGGGGGCAATAATAATTCACTGTGGACTGGTGCAAAGTGATGTACATTGGAAAGAACAATTTGAACTATTCATGCATGTTGATAGGTTCTAAATCACTCTGGAAAAGATCCTAGGGCCCCGTTTGTAGGCAGCACAATAAAAACATCTGGGCAATACACAATATTGGTCAAAAAAGATGTTGGGGAGTATTAAGAATGTGATGGAGATTAATAACAAAAATATGATAATACTGTTATGTACACTGATGACATCCTCGCCTTAAGCAGTTGATCAAATTCTCTGTTGGTGTAAATTGGGATAGTTCCATTAACTGCAATGGAGCTGTGCCAGTTTATCCCGGCAAAGAATTCAGGGCCTATTATAATCTGTATTGGTTACTGCATTGCCAAAGGATATAACAGAAATGGCAAAGGTCCAGAGAAGGATGACAAAAGTGATTAGGAGCATGGAAGTGGTTCCATATGAAGAGAGGACAGAACTACACCTCTACCCTGCTGTAACGCGACCTGATATAACATGAGTTTGGATATAATGCGGTAAAGCAGTGCTCCGGGGGGGGCGGGGCTGCGCATTCCGGTGGATCAAAGCAAGTTCGATATAACGCGGTTTCACCTAGAACGCGGTAAGATTTTTTTGGCTCCCAAGGACAGCGTTATATCGAGGTGGAGGTGTATTTAGTTTGGAAAGGGGACGTGAGAGAGGTCCTGTATATAAAATAATGAGTGCTATAGGATAGATCAGTCAGGAGCACATCCTTACCTTTTCTTGTCATAAAGGCCCAAGGGGTGAAATTCTCTGGCCTGTTTTATGCAGAAGGTCAGACTAGATGATCATAATAGTCCCTTCTGGCCTTAAAATCTATGACTCTCTGATCTAGTGAAATTAAAAGGTAATACCTTTAAAACGGGTAAAAGGAAATGCTTTTTACACACATATTGCATAATTAACCTGTGGAACTCACTGCCACAAGATATAATTCAGACAAGTAGCTGAGGAGGGTACAAGGATTGGACATTTACATACCTAACATGGATATCTGCAGTTACATTAGATAGGATAAAACATTTATAAAAGTCTTTAAACCCTCTTCTGTTGGGGCATAAATCATAACTTCCCCCATGGAAATGTTAGTTTATAATTGTCCATTTTACCCTTTCCTCTGAAGCATCTATCATTGGCCACTGTTGGAAGCAGGAGCTTCCGGAGCGCTGGTCTGATCCAGTATGGCAAAGGTGGTGGGGAACGAGAGAAGGCTACGCGCACCCTCCACCCCTTGCCCATTAGCACAGGGTGCAGCCACAGTTTGGTGCTGTAGTGTTTTCCTTTAGCTGCTTCAGCAACCCCTGCCTGATTTGAATAGGATAATATGGTTTGAGACCTTGGAGTTACATAGACTGGGCTCATCTTGGTATCTGGCTCAAACCTTTGAATGATGCATCATGTCGAGGTATGAAAATTGTTTAGTTCTTTAAAAGATTGGATTTGAAATGCCATGCTTTGGATGTTCAAGAGGGATTCCTCTAATCCGTCTGCCATGGTGAGCAATGGGCCAAACCCTCTGATCCTTCCTCAGTTATTCCTTCCTTACTCGCTTAACACTCCTATTGATTTCAGCAGAACTTTGCTGGAAAATGACTGAGTAAAATCTGAATAAGACCCTTAGATTGGCTCTGTATTATTGAGAGACTACGTGAAAGGTACCAACAGGGGTGAAAGTAATTTAAAGGACTTACCGGTATGCCAGAGTCCTGAGAGGGGGCGTGGCCTTTCACGATTTAAAGGTCCTGATGCTCCGGCTGTGGCTGGGAGCCCCAGGGCCTTTAAATCACCCCAGAGCTACCAGCTGCAGAGGCTAAAATGACTTACCCGTAGTTTGAAAATTCAAGTCTATATACATATGTGGACAACAAGCAAAAAGAATAAATCAGAATTTTATGGACATTATTACTATTTCTTATTATCATGCAGCGCCATATCTTTACGTGGTCCTTTACAGACAATTAGAAGAAGGCCCGATTCTCCGCTCCTGCTTCATCCCCTCTGTACCACTCCTGGAGTGCAAAGGGAACACAGAGTTGTGCTAACAGGGTAGCTGAGGATTCCCTTTGCATAGGGGAATCCTTGGGTGGCAGAAAGTTAGCCTAGGCAGCTCTACCGCATCACGTGTTCCTGGGACCACCTTCCGGGTGCAGTGGGTGTGCCAATGGGGAGGAGGCATGGCAATCTTGGACTGACTGAACTGGCCTTAGAGCAGCTCTGGAGCTGCTCTAATTTGCACTGGAGACCAAAACAGTCCCCTTCTGCCTCCAGGAGTAGAGGTAGAGGTGGAAAGCCACCTGTGTCATCCCCCCATTTCATAACACCTAAGGATCTAGCCCAGTGCCCCAGCTTCAAAGAGATGAAACGTAAACACATGGCTTCCTTGCACGCTTTATAAAAGAGTGAGCCGAGAAGAAAGGAATGTCTTGACTTAGTTTTGAGTAGCGTAGAGGACTTGACAGGAGCCATGGAGGTGGGGAAACATCAAAGCAACAGTGCCAGTAATTCTAAGTTGGTGTGTAAACGAAGTTAACCTGATTGTGAGGGAATGTAGGGACAATGAATTTCACAGAGCCAGATGTGGAAGAGAGTGTAAAGTTGGGGTTAATTGATAAGGTTGAAGCAATGCAGGAGCAAGACACAACTTGAATGTGATGGAAAGGATCCTGATGGAGAATAAAATGGACAAATTCTATGTGCCTGCCACTCAAAAGTTTAAAAAAAAAAAAAATCCAGTTTGTTCAGGAAAGGAACAGAATCATCCGGGGTAAGGAGGAGGCATTTTTGAGCTATAAAATAGGGTCAGGAGAGGAATGGAAAGGTTATAGAATGAAATTAGCTGCTTCAATGCTGGCTAACGTACCTGGTTAAAATGCACCTCCAGTGATGCTGCAGATGCTGTAGCAGGTGTGCCATCAATGAAATTCTGATCTATTGCCAGCTTAGCACTTGAAACAATGCTGCTGCATTCAGCTGCCATACAGAAGTGGCACCAGAGTTCAACAGTGAAGGGGTTAATCGTGCATTAAAATTGCCATGAAAACCGAAACCAGAGGGATGAAAAGCAGAGGCAAGATAAAACACACATGTTTTCAGAGTGAAGGATGAGAGGCAGATGAAAGAGACTGTGGGGCCTCAGGGATGGCTCTTTGTGTTCCAGAAGAATAGGGAGTTCCCTAAATCATAGCATTGAGAGCCAAGAGCAAGACACAGACCTATACGCTTTATTGATTGTATCTGAATTGCCTGGGATCCAAGGGGAGAAACTGACACGCTGGAGGGATGGCTCAGTGATCTTAAGTAATCCATTTTGAAGTCCCTAGACATCACCCAGCCACCTCCCACTTTTGTGCAGTGTGCTGATTGTTTGCCTGGCATTCTTTTACCCAGCTGTGATGCTGTATATTTTGTTTAGACTGTGGGATGAAGGATACATATAAAATTATATTGAAAATCAAGATCATGTCCAGAATAGCTAATCAAGAATTAGAAGATCTGAAAGCTGAGCAAACCAAAGGGTGGGGACAGGATCAATATGAGGCTAACGAAGGAAGTGAGACAGGGCAATTTATGCGTCTATATTTTAAACCTTTTGAAAACAAAGGGGCTGGAGAGAAGCTAGTGTAACAGCTCTATTAAGGAATCCAGAGCAGATCGAGGAAACTATAGGACGTGGCTGTGGAGGAGATAATGGAAATATCACCAAGAAGAGGGAGTAGGGCCAAGACCTAGAATATTTAAGATGCAACAGGGTGTGTAAATTCCGAAGTGACCGGTGCCCACCTTAGGTGCCTTGTTAAGACCAAGAGCCTTCACCTAGCTGCCAAGCAGCCTTCTGTATTAGGTGTGGGATGTATCTCTTGCCTTCCCAGTTTGGGGAGGTGGTCCTTCCCAGCTTACATCTTTTTAAAAATTGTAGAAATAGGATCTTTCTTGGGAGAGGTCTCTTCAAAGAAAGATGTGCAAAATAGAAGCCTGCTTAGCTCCTGGCATGTTTTACAGCCAGTCCACGTGCATCAATGGGTCCTACAGAGCTGGATAAAGAGAGCAGAGTAAGGCTATGTCTAAACTACAGTCTTCAGCTGGCATAGCTACATTGGTCAGGCATGTGAAGAGGTTTGATCCCTGACTGACATAGCAGAAGCCCCTCATGTAGATGCAGCTATGCCAACAAAACTGCACTTTTACTGGTGTTTTTCTCGTAGGGAGTGTTTTTACAGTGTACAAAGCACAGTTTTGCCAGTATAAGTTGCGTCCACACTAGCAGCACTTTGCCAGTGTAGTGTGCTGACATTCCTATACTGGTAAAGCACTTCTAGTGCAGCCACAGTCTAAATGCCCATGTCACTTACAATGTTAAAAATACCTTTTTAGACAGATCTCAGACATTTCTGATCCAGTGTGAAGCGGCCTCGTGAAGAGGGAAGGTGCTATACAGTCTGGGTGTGGTCTTTGTTAAGGGTTGCAAATAAGAAGGTAACTTATCAAAGTCCTGGGCTAGTTGCTTGCTTGGATATTGAAAGCATGGAGCAGTCCTTGTCAGCTGAAGCCCTTTGGATGGAGGGAGCTGGGCTACAGAGTAGCAGAAGCTTTGCTGTTAGACTAAGAAACTGGAGGATGTGGTGGATCCCGAGAATCTCTTGGATACTGGCAAATTCCTAAACTTGCTTATTGAAAACCCGAACCAACTGAGAGGCCAAGGAGGAGAAGAACTAGCACTAGTGCTAAGCACTTCCTGATTATGACTATAGATATTAGCACTGACACGCCGTGATGGAAGAAGCAAGAAGAAACTCAGGCATAAGTGGTGGAAAATATGTTCTGATACAGCCAGCTTCCATCACCAACTTCTGCCACTGCTATGAGGGAGATAGAGAGCCTGCCTCTCCCTGGCTATGGAGGTAGCAAAGCAAAGCCCCGTAGAATTTTTCTAGACTGCAAACTCAGATGGCCACCACTCAACCCCAGAACACAGCACCTCTCCCTTCAAGGAATTATCCTCTTAGTTCACCGAGACAATCACTCACATCCGGGATGGCCTCATAGGCCACAGAATAAAGAGCCAGAAGCAGCTTATTCTCATAAGAAATAACATTTCTCTACTTCAATCAAGGCACTAGACACTCAACACACCCACTCACACAAGCAAATAAAAAACAATGAATCAAGCTGTGTTTCACCCGGGCCTGGAAAGAAGAAAAGGCGAGAGAGAGTGTTATTGTTGTTTCTATATTTAAGTGCTTGGGAAGTGCTCAGAAACAACCACACAGCAGCGGGGGACATATAGGTATCACAATAGACTTTAGAAAAGAATGGATTTATTGGCAACGCTGGACACAAGCCTCTCCTACATGACAGCTCTCATCCCTACTCATCTGTTCTTTCCATAACTCTTCATGTTGTTTTATAGAGTCATGCATTTTAAGGCCAGAAGGAACCATTGTGATCATCTGCCTGACCTCTTGTGTAACACAGACCACAGAATTTCACACAGTGATTCCTGCATCAAATTTAACAACGTGTGGAAATGTTTGTACCCAATACAAGTCAGAAACCCATGGCCGTCAACCTAAGAATCCCATGCTGTAGGTTAGCAAGCTAAATGGGGAGCTGCGGGTTCCACAGAGGATCAAGCCCAGGACCTTGTAAAGCAGACATGATACAGGAACCACCTGCATATACAGATTGCCAAGGGATCTTAAAACTCCACAGAGAACAAAAGAGAAATCCATTTCTGAGGTGTCATCCTAAAAAGGTATTTACATTTCAGTAACCTAAAAGAAGGAACATGCAGTGAAGGGATGAAACTTGTTAATGGTACAAAACTAGAGCACCTGTAGGAGATCGGGGGCTGATCAGTACAAATATGCCTGTTAATAAATCTCAGAATGGCTTGGACAGACAAGGAGTGAGATCAGGGCAATGGAGAGAAATGTGAAATAATGAGGCTTAGATTTAAGAAGAAGGATGTCACACAAAACCGTGGAAGGAATGGCAGGAACATGGAGTGGGAGGAGGGTTAATGGGATGGATGGCAGGAAGCAGAAGGAGGACGGATGACATAGAGCAGAGGAGTGTCTGAAGAACAGTCTGGGTGTGTAAGTGGTCATTTAAAATGTAATGCAAACTCCAGGAAGTAGGGGTCTGATCCAAAGTGCATTGAAGTCAGTGGGAGTCTTTCCATTTACTTCAGCAGCTTTTGGATCAGACCCTAATTGCAACCATATATAAAGGACTTGTAATGGTATATCCAGTTCATGTGACTCCTGCTCCCCCCTGTTGCTTTCTTTAATTTGGCTGGAAACATGCCTTATGGAGTGCCTGCGGGTTGGCTCTTTGAACATATATAACCCTGGGTAACAGTTTTGCAACAGAGTGCTAGCAGAATTGTCTCCTAGGCATATAAGTATCTTGCCTCTTTCAGTCGCTCCTATGTGATACTTCAGAGGAAGGTGAAACTCTCCATAATGAGTCTAGTCAACTGTGCTATACCGTGGGGGGAAATGATTTTCTGAACTTTGCAAGCAATCCTGATTTCTCTGTTAACTTTTTGCCTGGTTCAGTGACTTCAGCTACTTGTGTTCTACTTGTTTATGTAAATATCTTAAACCCTTTTAATATCCTCTGATAAACATTGCCATACTGATTTCCTGCAGCAGTGAGTTCCATGAATTGGCTCTTCTCTGCAAGAAGAATGATTTCCTTTTTCATTGCTGCCTTTCAGTTCAATGACTGGCCCGTAGCTCTCATATTATGTGTCTGGCTGGGTAGAAGCAGCCCAATGGCTGTCCCTGAACCATTCCTTGTATCCTGTAGAGCAAATTTATTTTCTCATTTTGTTTTTTGCCTCTTGAGACTAGTAATTTCTGGTTTGTTTTCACAGAAGTCTCAGTGTTTCACCTTTGAAGATGAAGAGCGGGAGGAGAGGAAGGTATGTCCTTTGTTTCTTACTATGGCCATCCAGAGGTACCTGAATGCAGAGCAGTGAATGCCAAAGGGCTTGGTGAGAGATGGCAAATCCCAGAGAGAAGCTAGTGCTCTCTCACTGGGACTAGGTCACTGATGGAGGAGCATTGAGTTAGAACAGTGGTCCCCTGAGTCAGTTTGTCAGCAGTGTCCATTTCTGATCCAGGGGCAGGTTCTACATAGCACGATGCCACGTCTACTGTCCCTCTCCTTCCTCCCCAGGGCCACGCAAGTTATTCCTCAATGCTTTTTCATAAGACGTCTTTTATGGTTCTTGATAATTAGTGTGAAAAAGCTATTGCCTCAATCTCGTATTTCAGACATTGGAATAGAAAATCACTCTCTGTCTGTCTCCTCTGTCACATTGCCTGCATTCTCTCTACTTTGGATTTGGATACACACCCTACCACACTCCTGCCACCACCCCTACAGGTAGACAAATGCCCACCATGTGCATGCATGTACACACGGCCACACAAACATCACCTAAATAGACATACCATACAGGAAAACGCTTGCCACCTATACTGACACACAAACCAAAGTCATGCCACCTTTAACTCCGCCGCAGTCAATGAAATTATGCCAGAGTTGAATGTGGCCTGCAGAATGTAGTATACACAGAGGCACACACCTGCCACCACCCAGGTAGCCAGAAAAATACTCTCCACCTGCATAGACACACTGAGGCCTTTATCTACAGTGGAGAAATGTATTGTGGTACAAAATGATTGTACCTCCTCAGTCAATGGAAATGTCTTTTGTGTCTACACACAGAAGTGTTCCATAGATAGAGGGTGAGAAATATGCCAAATACCCTTGGATTTTGTTGCAGTAAGCAACGATGAATCCTATGGCAAAGAGCTTTTAAAAGGAGCAATCTGATTAACCAGAGACGACACCTTACATACATCACCCTGCCTTACGAAAGGACAAAACAGTATTAGGACCCAGTAGAGACTCCAGCTACCTGCAAGAGAGCAGCTACTCCATTAGAGAGGCCCAACTTCCCTCTGTGGAGTTTTGATGCTACACTATTTGTCAGGGGAGGGGGGGTGTTTTTACACTAAATGGTTTTTATAGCCTTAAAAATATACAATATAAAAAAACTCCAGTGCTTCAAGAACTTCATCAAAAACCCTTTCTTGGGTGGCAGAAGGATCCTGACTTTGAAGCTCTTATCTTGCAACAAAGCATGAAGTGATCATATATCCATTATTCTTCATAAAGACTATCTCTGCAAGGCCCCCTCCTCATTCAGTTCACTTTGGATCATCCCCAGAAAGGCTTAAGATTTACTGCAAAACCCCACTGATTCCTGCCCCATTGATCCACAGTCTCCAAAATTCACTCACATGGCAGATGACTTCACCTTCACCTTCACCTCTCATCACAGATTGAATGGCAGCGAGCGAGCTGTAGTAAGGTCTTCTCTTACTGTGGCATCATTACTTATGCAACATATGCAGAACATTTACTAGTGTCATATGAAGTGTTACACATTAAAACAAAACTATGCAGGGTTGTACCTTTGCTCTTCTTGCTGTTTTGTTTTCTTACTCGCTGATCTGCAAGATATCAGCAATTCACAATGGGACAGATCCTCAGCTGGTGTAAATCAGTATTGATGGAGCTATCCCAGTTTACCCCAGCAAGGAGTCTGGGCCAATGAGTCTCCTAGTCATTGGTGAGAATTAGTGACATTCTACGATATCTAAACCTGAGATATTTTCCCTTCTCCCCACCCTCTTCTCAGCCCAGCTAGATCCTCCATCCTTCCCTTAACCTTGTATTATCCTTCCCTCAGTTCCTTCAGCCTGCTCCCCCATCCACAGTATCACCTGCTCTCTGACCTTGAGACTCCCATTACATCACCCCCCCACCCCCAATTTTGTACTCCTTTCTATGCATTATTTCTAGATGTGGGTCAGAACCCACACTCTGGAGCCAAATGCCCTTGAGCTTTGGAAAGTTCACGTCTTGATCTGAACTTTATGGTAGGCCCATCTCTAGATACTGCTTATCTGTTTCAGCGCGGTGCATTACACAGTGCCCACTTGTGAGAACAGCTGTTGAAATGTCAGAACTAAGGCATTGTTTGCTGTGTCTTCATTTTTCCCTTCCAACTCCGCAGAAAATGGCCCAGCTGCTGATCAAGTTCCTGGAGAGAGAGCTCCAGCCCTCCTGCCAAGTCACATGTTTGGAAAGCATCCGCATACTGTCCCGGGACAAAGGCTGCCTTGACCCCTTTACCACCGGGGAAGGCCTGCAAACCTTGGCCAGACACGCTGGCATTGATTACTCAGAGGAGCTCATTCGGGAAGTCCCAGACCTAGATGTGATCCTGGAGGCCCTCAAATGCCTCTGCAACATCGTCTTCAGCAGTCCCCGGGCACAAGAGCTGACGGCTGAGGCCCGGCTCGTGGTGGGTCTTACGGAGCGCATCAAACTCTACAATGAGAAGAACCTCCCCCATGAGGTCAAGTTTTTTGACCTGCGTCTTCTGTTCCTGCTGACAGCACTGAGGGTGGACATCCGGCAGCAGCTGGCCCAGGAGCTCAGGGGCATCAGCCTGATGACAGACACCCTGGAGCTGACGCTAGGGGTGAAATGGCTGGACCCCCATGAGGTAGCCACTGAGGGGAGCCCTCCCCTGCCCCTGCCACGCCAGGAGACAGAGCGTGCCATGGAGATCCTTAAGGTGCTCTTCAACATCACATTTGACTCCAGCAAGAGGGAGGTGGATGAGGTAAGTTTCTCAGAAGTCACTGCCCATGCCTTGGTTTGATTGTGGTTTTCCACCTCCACTTAGCAATTCTTCCCTGTTGCATCTGATGTTGGTGCATCCTCCAGTCTGTGGACTCACAGTTACATACACACATGTAGGAACAGAAGCAGCCCATGGGGCCTTCGTTTCTAGAACAGTTTGATGACAACTCTGCTGTCTCTGCCCTATAGACTGTTAACACTTTACAAAAAGTAAGTTTTTAAAATGCTACAATTTGTTATCTATCTTATGACTAAAAATAATTTCTTTGTGCTGGAAGAGGGCAAAATGCTTATGTAACTCGCCCTTGAAATGGCCAAGGCCTGGCCCTTTTCCGCCTTCTATATTAGCTAATGGGTGTGATGGAGGCTGCAGATGGCTAACTCTTGGGAATGTCTGTGGCCTCTGCTGGTCCCTGGATTAACCGTGTAGTGTGATGGAGGACTTGGGAGGGATATGGAGCAAGATAAAGGACAAGCAAGTGTATGAGTGGGGCAGGAAGCTGAAAGAGAGTTTTGGGGACATTGCCATGATTTGTATCTTACTCCACTTTACCAAGATTTGGTTGTTCTTGGTATCAATGTACAGAAGTGTTCTGTTCCCAAAACAGCAGTAGAGCGGCAGAACGGCAAACAGACTCTGGGATTTCAGGGACTGCAGAGATGTGCTTCCCTTTCATAATCAGGTTTTTTGTTTTCTGTTTTGGGGCCAGGAAGATGCTGCTCTGTACCGACGCCTGGGCGCTCTCCTGCGTCATTGCCTGATGATTTCAGCTGATGGAGAGGACCGGACAGAAGAGTTTCATAGGTGAAGATCATTATCCTGGCATAAGACTTGAACCCACATAACCTTCTTACCCAGAGGAGAAGGTGCTACTATCTAAGCCATCCTGACACTAAGGATCAGATTCTGATACCCTGACTCATGCTGAATGGTACCTTTCTCTACAAGTACACCTCTAACTCGATATAACGCTGTCCTCGGGAGCCAAAAAATCTTACCGCATTATAGGTGAAATCGCGTTATATCAAACTTGCTTTGATCCACCGGAGTGCGCAGCCCCGCTCCCCCGGAGCACTGCTTTACCGCGTTATATCCGAATTGGTGTTATATCGGGTCGCGTTATATCGAGGTAGAGGTGTAGTCCTGCTGAAGGGAATGGGACAACTTGTCAGAGCAAGAATTGCTCACCAACTTGAAAAAGGTCTTCACAATCTGGCCTTAAATATCTAACCATATCCTGAGTCATGTTGTGCAACTGACATTGACAATTGTCATTAGAGAGAGTGCTGAGACCTCCCAAAATCAGGTCATGTTTAACCTTTGTGTGCACACCCTTTGATTAGTTTGGTTGTAGAAGAGTCCACTTGCAGGTCCCAGCAAATGATAGTTTTTGATCTTACCCTCCGGCGCGTCATATTGCTAGAATTTAGAAATTAACTTGCTCCTTGGAGAATAAAAGAATCTACATTAACACAGAGCCTTGGCTGTCTCTTTGTTCCTCCTCTCCCTGTATGTTCAGCCACACAGTTAACCTCTTGGGCAACCTCCCTCTCATGTGTCTGGATGTCCTGTTGACCCCGAAGGTGCGGCCAGGCTCGCTTGAGTACATGGGCGTTAACATGGATGCAGTCAGTGTCCTGCTGGATTTCTTAGAGCGACGACTTGACAGGGTAGGTAGAGGAGATGCTGTTCAGAGTTTTTCATTGCACCATCTTTCCATGCAGTACCTTCTCTTCTCACTGTAGGGCAGATTTGGCCCTCCATCCCTGACAAGCAGAGCTACTTTTTCCATTTAAAAACCCCCAGAACACCTCACGAGGAGACCACAGGAATGTCAGCAAGTGATGGCTGGTTTGGAATTCACCAGAATAGTTTGTAGCTATACCTTTAATAGAAGTGGCAGATATTTTCCTGACAGAGGCAAAAAATTATGGTTGGTGTTTGACTAGGTTCACTGGTTGACTGGACAGTAGGGTGATTAACTTGTTGATTAAAAAGTAATAGATTTATTGGCTGTTTGCATGGCAAGATTCGTTGGATGGGAGTTGGTTGACTGACTGATCAGGGTGCTGAACAGCTGATTGAATCGGAATCCCTGGAACTGGTTAGTTACCGGGTGTGTTGGTCAGCTGTTTGGATGTGACCGTGTGAGTTGCTGTACAGTAGGCAATTGATTGATTGGTTAGCTGTTTCTTTCCTGTGACTAACTCAGCAGATCTGAGGACTGATTGTCACCAATCTCACTTTGAGGTGGAGGGCTGGTGGAGTTTTTGTGGGCTTCATTAAGGCAGATCATTGGGATTAACACCCAGCCCCCTCCCCTCCCCCCCCCCAAATTCCGTGATTTACTACTCCGGCAGCTTAATCTGAGTTTTCCCTGAAGCCAAAAATAAAATTGTTTTTAAGTTCTAAGTTCATTTTTGACAGAAAAGTGTTATATGAAGCAAACCTGTTAAAAACGTCACCAACTCAGCAGAACATTGGGTGTGGTCTTCAATCTCTAGAAATACTTTGAGAGCTTTTCTGAGCGTGGCTGCATGACTTCCCAGCTCTCTCTGCTGTCACTCCTGTGTTCCAGTGTGCTTCTGGCAGCCCCGTGCCATATAGCGAATGCAGAGAGGCTGCCAGCTCTGAGCACTGACACAGTGGGAAAGCTGCCGTGGCACAGAACTGGAATCCTCAGTCCTCATCTCTTTCCACGCAGGCCTGCGCTTTCGGGATCTGTCTCTGCTAGGAACTGGACAATGAGAACTACGTGAGCTTGTGATGACCTGTTGTTGTTTCTTCTGGGCTCTTTCACAGGGTCACAAACTGAAGGAGACCCTGACCCCTGTGCTGAACCTGCTGACAGAGAGTGCCCGTGTCCACCGCCAGACAAGGAAGTTCCTCAAAGCTAAGGTACCGTGTTGGTGTAGGGAGAATCCAAATGATACTCATTCCTGATTCCTCTGAGGTGAGAGAAGAATAATACAAACTTTATGGATACCACCAGCCTCCAAACAGATACCCCTCTCCCTCCGTATATAGATTCTGCTATCCAAGGCTATGAGCCCCTCAGTACCTGCAACGTTTGCCTACACTCTTGCTGCACTCCCAATAGTTTATTCATTTATTTAATCTGTAAATTGCATTGTGGCACAAAGGTATTCTGGAAATCCCAGTGCTGTTCCAGCTTCATCCCTCTTGCTGTGGCTTTGCAGGTGCTGCCTCCGCTGCGGGACGTGAAGAATCGCCCCGAGGTGGGGAACTTGCTACGGAACAAGCTTGTGCGCCTGATGACTCACATTGACACCGACGTGAAGCACTGCGCAGCCGAGTTCCTCTTTGTGCTCTGCAAGGAGAGCGGTGAGTAACGAAAATGTCACAGGACGGATGAGATCCTCTGGGATCTTAGTGCCAGGGAGGCAGGGCATGGAATCCAATTTCTGGTCAAAGCCAATTAGAGTTTACACCACATCAGACCTTCCGAGGCTAGAGGACACACCTTGCCACCCCTCAGACACGCTGTCCAGACATTCGGTGCTTGGGGCAGGTAGTACAGGAGTGCACTGTGGGAAGGCAGAGTTGCCAGTAGTCAGTGAAACACTCTGCAAGGAGACAGCTCCTTCCCACCTCACAGACACACTGGGCATTCAGACCTACTGTCAACAGATGCAGCTCCACTGATCCATTGTTCAGCCCTCCCAGTGTGGGGAGTCAGATGATAAATCTGGTATTGTTTGCTTTACCCTCCGCTCCGCTGTCACAAAGTCCAGGGGAAGAATTGGTATTAGGGGATTTTGTCTGCGGGAGGAGGACCCGGAGCTGAACTTGCTGCTTGAGCACTCAGGAGCGGTGTATTGACTATCAATGCCACAGTCTGCATTTCCCACCTGCCTCTTCCACATGAGGATTTATTCAGTGGCTGTCCATGCTGGCTGGTGCCTCTTGTTTAAAACTGGTCACTTTCTCTCAGTCACTCCAGCCTGTCCCCAGGAGGGCTGGTGGGCAGCACGAGGATGTGCTGACTCTCGTGTCTCTCTCCCCATCAGTGTCGCGATTTGTGAAGTACACAGGATATGGCAATGCAGCCGGGCTCCTGGCAGCACGAGGCCTCATGGCAGGAGGGCGGGCAGAGGGAGAGTATTCTGAGGATGAAGACACGGACACAGAGGAATACAAGGAAGCTAAGCCCAAGTAAGGACCCCTTTCCCTCCACCACCTGTTCCCACAGTCCCTCTGTCCCTACACGCTCACAAATCCCTTTCTCCGTGCCCGGCTTGTGCTCACGAGCTCCCTTCCCCATCCTGTCCCTATGCTCTCACCTACCCCATTACCCACTTTTCTCACCCTATTCCTTTCTGCTCTTCCCCATCCTCTCCCAGCATCCCCCTGCCCAGGGCTTCACCCACTCTCTCCTCCTCACTACTCACTTCATTTGATGGCATTTCATCCAAAAATTACCTACTTCCTACTCCAGTGCCTCACCCACCTTGGGAATGGCTCCCCTCGCGTGACAGCTGCTAGTGTGCCCGTATCCACTCACTGGCAGTAGGGCACGTCATCTACAGTGGAACAGATTCCCTTATTGCACCACTCCGGAAAGGCATGGAGATGGGGTAGCGTGTATAATGAGGGTTGGGTTAGAGCTCTGGTCATACCCACCTCCAGCTGCTGGGTCCCTGTCTGCAGCCAAAATTAATGTGTTCCTCTCTCTCCTCAGCAGTGCTTAGCAGTGATGCTGTGATGGGGTGGACAGAGGGGACTCTCCAGTCCTACCGAGCTCTGATTGAACGTAGGATTGGCCATGTCAAATCAGGCCATTAGTTCACCAATTCTGGAATCACATGGACCACATGTATGTGGAAGAGGAGGGAGGTGAGGTCTCTACAGATGGAGGCCTCTGGAAGGAAGTGACGAGGAGAGGGTGTATTCCCACTCTGGTGGCCAGAGAAGGAGGGGAGGGCTTGGCAGGACTCTCTTACCGAAGGAGAGTGGGGGGTGATGCAGTGGAGCATGGGCAAGTGTCAGGAGCACCTGGCTCTCCTCTGTGATACCACCAGCGCTAGTATCCCAAGGAGAGAAGAGAGCATGTGCTCTGTGGCCAGCTCTGCTCTCATGCTATTGTAAACTCATAGACGCAGCCTGCTTTTCAATTAACCTGTTTCTCTCTTCTGTCTCTCTTTCTCTCTCTACCTCCTGTTCCCATTATTGCATTCAGCATTAACCCAGTGACAGGCCGTGTGGAGGAGAAGCTCCCCAACCCCATGGAAGGGATGACTGAGGAGCAGAAGGAGTATGAAGCCATGAAGCTGGTTAACATGTTTGACAAGCTGTCCAGGTATCAGAAGAGAGAACGGAGCGTGTGCGGTTGTGGTTTGGGGATGCAGTGGGAATGCACTAAAAGAAAAAGTCCTGGCTAATATAGGTCAGACACTGAGATTGGGGAGACTCAGGTTTGTCATAGAGTCATGACTATGGCAGGTCAGTGCATTAGGATAGTCTTAATGGGAACACAACTACGTATATGCCTTGAGGAGGAGGGGAATCCCAGCTCCATGCAGTGAGTGTTTGGTAGCAGTCCAGGGCCCTGGAAGGTCATAGGGGATGGACTTGGGATGATTGCTGGGAAGATTTAACACATGAATAAATTAACAGAGCTGGATTCTGTTACCCCAGCAAAAGGAGTTCAGGGGCCTTAGCCAAACCTCATTGAGACAGCAACAGACTAAGAAACTACCACATAATGTGTTCTCCACCTCCCAGTGCATCGGGAGTTGTCACCTCACCAGAGTTCAGCCTGGGAGTTCTCTAGCAGATGGTGGCATTGCCCCTGGGTGGCTGCTGGTAGGAAGTAGCATTTCAGCCACAGATGGCAGCCAGTGGCACCAATTCTCCTTCCCCACAGGAGAGCCTTCTCCAGTAGGTGCTCATCCATCATTCAGGGGCACTGCAGACAGGGGTCCGGGATCTACCTAGAGAGTTCAGAAGGCACCGAGATGGGAAGGAAAAGGGCAGCTCATTTAATGCTGATAGCACATGTGTGTCAGAGAGAGAGAAACTCATCCTGGTGCCAGTCCTAACATTACACTACAGTGGTTCAGCTAGCACTCCCTGCCTCTGCCCAGTGCTACTCCGGACGGTGCCAGGAATGCCCAGGAGATTCTAGAACCCAACCAGTCTAGCAGGAGCTTAGAGTGGCAGCTCCTGGGATCTCCAATGCTAATTCCAACATGACTGGGGTTCTGGACCCCTAGTACGCCCTGCCCCAGGGGCTGCACTCTTCAGGTTGCTTGAGAAAAGGCATCAATCCATTCCTTGGACTTGATTTGCTGGGCTGTGGGATTCTCTCTGCTGCCTTTTGGAGCTTTGCAAGTGGAAGTACAGAGCCGGATATTCAGAGGTGGGGAGCTCAGTGTGAGTTGTGGATGCCCAGAACTTCTGAAAATCAGCCCCTCGTTCTTTTCACAGGTTTATTCCTTCCTTAGGTGCATGGGAATGTTGTTGCTGGAACCAGGCCTGTTTCTTTAACTAGGGGGCCTCTACTGCGCTGGTATCCTGCAAAGCATTCTCCCTGGCTGCCATCTAGAGGTGCCCACAGGTCCCTCAGAGGATGGACACGAGTGCTCAGCGATGTGAGCGTTCCCCAGTCTCCCAGTTCTGTAGCCCCTCCAGAAACATTATGTGGTTTCTCCTGGGAACTCCCTTTGCCAAACTAACTCTGCTCTTTCCCTCCATATTGCAGACAGCAAGTCATCCAGCCAATGGGGATGACTCCAGGGGGCAATCTCACCTCTCTGGAGAACGCTGTGCATGAGCTGGCAGAGGAGAGATCATCGTCTGACTCTGACTTGGGGTTGGACTGATTCACACCTCTCAACTCCCCCCTCCCCCCAAGGACTGTGGGCTCTCCACTCTCCCTTCAGAACTGGTGCTGCATCCAGAGGATAGTACTGGGTGAGGACTTTCCCAGTGGGATCTGAATCAGGACTGGAGTCCACTGCCCAGACAGATAACAACCACCTCCTCTCCGGTCCCATAACCACCTCTCCTTTCCCAAAGAGCTCGCCACAGCTTGGTTTCATCTTGGTCTCTTTCCCTCCGTGTCCCTGAGGATCTCACACTCCAACCCAAGCCCAGGATTGTCCAGTAGGACTTTTATAAAGAAAGATTGGGAAGGGGGAGGAGGGAATATCTTCTTACACCAACAGGGTCCAGTAGCATGTGGAGCATTGTGTGTGCTGACTTCTGTGTAGGCACATCACTGTGTGCGCATCTGGGTGTTTTTATGGGGTGTGGGTGCGTTTATAGTATGTGAGGCACTTGTGCAGCGTGCATACATTTGTAAGGGCACACAAGGGTATGCCTATGTCAGAGAACATATGTGGGAATTTGGGAACATGAGATGTGTGTGAATGTGTATATATAAGTGGAGTATATGCCCGGGACATACGTGTAGTGATTAGAAGAGTGTGGGCATTACATGTCTGCATACTGATGGTATGTACTTGTATGGGTGAGCCTGGGTGTATTGGGTGTATGCAATTGTATATGTACAGATGGGCACATGTCAACATGTAATATTTAGGTACACATATAGATAATATTTGTGGGCGTGTGAGGGGTGTATACATGAGTGGCTGTGGAGCGTACAGGTGGGAATGTGAGTGTAATATTTAAGCACATCTGCCTGTTGGGACTCATGTTAGGATACATGTGCTGTGTGGGGAGCACATGTGGGGGTATGAGAATATAGCTCTTATGAGAAACTTTCAGCACTCACACTGACTGCAGGATTGACATTTGCAGGTGACTGGCAGCAATGCTTTGATTTGTAGTCTATAGCACTGTGCAGTGTTCCTGTTTCCACTACCCTCAGTTTTCTGGACTAACTTCTCCCATTCTGCTTTCTGAACGAAAGGCAGAGACCCCCTTGCGTAGTTTCTTGCTGAATCATCTGCTTCAGCTCCCACAAATCCCCAGCTCTTTGCACTCCCAGGCTGGTATCAAATCCCCTCCTGCACTCTGGCGTAGACTTTTCTGTTTAAAGAAGAGAAACTATCTTCCAATTTGTCTCCTCCTGTACCAAGAGTTTCAGAACATATTAGCACAAATAGAAAGAATTACACTAGAATAAAGGAAACCTTCTGACAGACGAGTGCGTGTCAATGATTCATCTGAGTGGTGTCACAACTCTAAGCAAATTAGAAAATGGCCAGTGTTTCTGGGGGTCCGTCATATAGCCATGATCATTCCAAACATTAGTTTTATTCCCAAATAATAGGCTATATTAAGAGACAGTTAAGGCTGAAACTATCTTTAGTTTCAAAAAAACCCAATACATCACTGAATGTTTAATTTGAAACATCTAAGCATCTGAGATTCAGGAAATTCTAAGTTAGGATTCCACTAACACCCTTAACTCTGCCCCCCATCCCTCGCCACATGTACTGTAGCTATAGGAGCATAAGTATTCCAATTACTTTTTAAATGGTTGTAATTATTAAAAATAAGTAATACAGTCCATGCATGTTAGTTCCCTTTTCTGCTCTTTGTAGAATATCTAAGGGCATATACCGAATTGCAGAATGAGGTTTTCATCTAGTGTTTGTGGAGTGGACCTGGGCAAAATGGTTACCTGCTTGTATGTAGATAGTGGGATTTCTGACCCATATTGAATGAGAGAGTAGGTTAAGCATAGTGGTGTTTCTCTCCTGTACAGAGAGGATGGACAGGAAGGGTTGGGCCTTGTGGCTTATCGCTGAACAGGTTGTGGTCCAGGAAATCAAGGTGGTGTTGGAGCCCTGGCGGGCAGAAGTGCAGCTGTGGAGGGCGGTTGGGGGGACTGGAGAATTGGGGATTTTTCCTAAAAATGTCTCCTACTGTGAATTTTTAAGGGGAGAAAAACAATTCTAAATATACTTAGCAATTGGTTTACATTTTAAAGGCTGTCTCTGCAAGGGAAAAAGGCTAGAGATTTACTTCTTTAAAAATGCATGTTTAGTTCTTCACCTAGTGAAGAACTTTGTGGAAGTTTTTTAAGGAGTTTAAAAGGAGAAAAAAAATTGAATAACTCAAAAATTAACCCACTAATCTTCACTAATAGACAGCAGGCTCTCTGAGGAGAACAGGAGAAATCAAGTGTGGAGATTCTGGGCCAAGCCATTTTATTGTATTTATTTTTCTAAGATAGAAGTTGGCAAAAAATAATAGTAAACTTTCAGTGCAAACCTCTGATCTTTTTCAAAGTGTTAGATCTGGCAGAAACCTCGCCCGCTCAAGGAATTAAAGAAAAACATGGTGTATTTTACTCACCTCTCGCCCATTTCCTTGTGTTCAGATTCCTCAGAAATAGGCCATGTTTAAAACTCAAGCTTGCAATGGACTTAGGCACTGATCCTACAAAAGCTCCACACATGTGCTCAACATTAAACATATGAGTAGTCCCACTGACTTTAATAGGGCTGCCTATATGTGTAAATCTTGTGTATAAGGTTTTGCAGAATTGAGGCTCAAGTCAGGACAAGCACCTTTGACGTGTATAACGAAATACGGTTGAGAAGCAACATATGCTGTTTTGTAGTAAAATGTTAACTGTGTACAAATGGGCAGAACTCCAGCTAGGCTAATTGTCTGGAATGCTGCAAAGTGAAAGAAACACTTCTGCTTTTATTTAGGCTATGAATTCAAATGACATTTATTTCAATGGCTGAACCCACAGCCATGTAAGAACATTCAAATATATTTGAATCACACATTCAGATAAACAAGTCTGTTCATCTGAATGTGAGCTCAATCACAGACCTCATTTAAAAGAAGTGCAAGGGCAAAAAACTCTGTTACTACAGTGGTAGGAATGACAGGGCCAGATCCTCAGCTAGTGTAAATCAGCATACATCCAGTGAAGTCAATGGAGTGCTGTTGAGTTATGCCAGCTGAGGATTTGGCCTGAAGTTTCTAAATGCATAGAAGACAGATAATCCAAAGGTAGGTTTCATACCGCTACCGTCAATTAGCCACATTGCACATACATATTAAGGCGTAAAAGTTAACACAATATAAAGGGAGAGAAATGTACAAAGACGCAGAGTTACAGTAGCTATGGAAGCCTTAACATTCAAATTCCTTGACTTTTGTGCATTTCAAAATATTAACCATAACCACATTGAGCAAGGTGTTTTACATCTCCTCTGTTGTGCTTCTTTAGACGTAGTATTGGTCAAAGGTCACATCCAGAAAAATCATTGTAATAGACGAGCTAATTATTGCTGCATTCGCCTCTAGGCCAGAAGGGTGTGATTTCAAATCCTACGCTGGGACTTGGGCTCAGCTGCAATGATAGCTCTCTAGTGTGAGGGGGAAGGGGCCTCTTACTATTAGTAGTGCTCTCCGATGAGACATTAAACATGGATCCCTTTTGCCCATTGGTGATGTGCAAATTAAATATCCCATGGCACCTTTTGAGAAGAGGAGGAAATAACCCTGGTGTCCTGGCAAACATTCCCTCCCTATAAGGCTCAGTGAATAGACAATAAACCCTTGATTGCTCCATATGATTGGAGCATTCTGTGAGCTGTAAATCTGTGCCAGGAACTGAGCCAGCATTTAAAGGGTGAATAGTTGCTAAGTGAATAATTAAGAGAAATGAAGGATAACAAAGGGCATGAACCAAATTGGGGGAAGTGCAATCAAAGCATTGACCTTGGGAAATGTGTGAAACAGACATTGAAATACCATGTGTAGACATCCGCAAAGGCATTAAAGCTTACTAGTATTAATAATTATTATTGCTGTGCAGATATCAAACCACGTTCCATTCAGACAGCAGCTTAAATTGGCCCATAGGGTTGTTTGCTCAGCAGAAGTGGGGTTTCCAGGCATCATCTCCAGACACATTGACACCTTTCACCTCCTGATTAGCAGCAATTTCACCAATATAATAAACACAACAAATTTGCAACAAATAATTGAAAAAACCCTGCTTGCATTCGAAACCTGCTCTTTTGAAGAGCTGGTTCAGGGAGCCGGAAACTTTCTATGAACCTGTCTGATGGAGCTGGGTACTTATCCCAGCAGCATTAGAATGAGACAGATCAACTAACATTTTCAAAAGCGGACTAGTGACTTTGGGTGCCCAACTTGAAGTACTATAAATAGGCCTGATTTTCAGGACATTCTGAGCTCTCACCCTCTGACAGGCCGCTCCAGGGTATTTCAGGTTGGGCACCCAAAACTTGGGACACCCAGACTCACAAGAAACTTATTAAGATTTGATCCTGAATTTCTGGTGGGAGTCCAGTATGTCTGGTGGGAGGGAAATGAGACTCTGGCCAGTCTAATAGTGAACATCACAAAGTTGGATGATAGTTTATACAGCTGTTAAAGGATCTATGTGACAGAAAAGGAGAGGCAAAATCTCTCCAAATGTGTGATCTGGGAGAATGGAAGACGAAAAGGTAGCGGTCACAGCGTTCAGTGGGCACATGTGCCAGGCTGAGGTGTCAGATTGGGAAAGTCTCCTGCAATAGCCAGTCCACAGCCTGCCATTCGGTCTTCACTTCCTAAGAGTCTTGTGTGATGGTCTTTTCTGTACTGCGGCAGGGCACTCGGATACAGCCAAAGGGGTTCTCAGTAGCCACTGCAAAGCTGGAGAGCATTTTCCCCAGCTCTCTTCTGTAACTTCGTCACAGCTCGCAGGGGATGACACCTACCCCTTTTCAAGGTGAACATCATTTCCCAGCAGCAGGAGGGCAGCTGTCCTAGTTGTCTTTTGCATCCAGCTAAAAATAGAAAGAACGTTCATGGCTCGTCAACACGATTCACGTGTTCCAGTGTTCATCAGCTCAGCTGGTGACACTCAGGCCAAAAGCCCAGGGTGATGAGAGAGAGCGTGCATACCACAATTAACTGGATTTGCTTCATTGAGTTACAGCAGCACAACCATGACATGAAGGGCTGTGCGCTCTCGTGTTACCCTCAAATGGCTTACCATGAAAAACCCCCTGACAAATGACTAATCATCCTCTCTGTAGATGACTCATAATCTGATAGTGAAAAATGAAACAGCAATGTTAAAATGGGGTCTGGGATCTCCATACTACATCAACCCTCTCACAGCACTTTGTTTAAAAATACAGAGCCAAATTCTCTTCTGGTGCAAATGGGCAAAACTGTACTGACACCAATGGAGCTGCACCCATTTATACCAGCAGAGTTAAATGCTCCACTAGACTAAAATTAAATACTACTACTAATGGTCCCTAATTAATGTTAGTGTAAAATAAAATAATTAATAGCTTGTTCTTTTATAATCTCTCTTCTGAAGATCTCAAAGGACCACCTGTGTCAATGGGACTTCTCAGAGGACCGAGGGTTTGCAGGATTAGGCGCTTAGCATTTCATTACTACCAGACTAGACAAATGCTTTTACTCCTGTTAGTAACAGGGATGACTGCACAACCTCATTACTTCATACAAATGAATGGGAGAGCCATTGTGAATGAAATGATTCTGTAAATCAGCAAATAAGAGAACAAACCCATGAAAAAGCAAAGAGAATACGTTATTTATTTTGGCAATTATAGGTTAATTTTATTTATGGTAACACTTCAGAAGGAATCAATACAATTACAGAGCCAGATCATCTGCTGGCACAAAGCAGCTTAGCTCTACTGTCTCTCCATTGAAATCAAGAGAGCGATGTCAGTTCACACCAGCTGAGGATCTGACCCACCGTGAATATTCTAAAATGAATGAAGTTTAATACTGAGACTTCACGACAGCCTCTGCTCTGAAAACTGAGAGGAGGAAAAAAGCCACCACTTTTTTGTGTTTATAATGTGTGCAGATTAGTTTGGCACACGGCAGGGGTATTTCTCTTGGCATGGGGAGTGATACTGGTAACTTTCCAGTCCTTCAGAATCTCTATGGAACTTTTGCAGTCTGCACCCTGGAGTGCATGTTATCCTGGACTTGGGGTCTGATCAAAAGTCTGTTGAGGTCAATGGGAGTCTTTGCATTGATTTCACTAGGCTTTGGATCAGGCTTGTGATGATTTGTCTTTTAAATGCATCTAACCCTAACCCTTTCTGTTTCTGTATGCTTCTTAATTGCCCAGCTGTTGTCTCTGGTAAACTGATCTCTGGCTTAGGCAAGTCTCCATCACCCTCTTCACTTCTTTAGGGGTTGAAAAGTCTATCTGGACATGCATCAGTAAATAAACAGAACAGACTTCCCTTAAAACAGCTTGTACTTTTTAAATATCCACATCATTCTAGATCAGGATCACCCTGATATTCAGTTAAATACCGTTAAACCATTCCATCATTAGGGAACTATACTCCACAGTCTTGGTCTTCTCTTTTCTTGCTGAGACAAGTCTGATGTTGGCTGAAAATGTATTTAACAACCCTGGCTACTTTCTTGTCTCCCGATATAAACTCTCTGCATTCGTTGTTAAATGCCCTAGTGGCTTCTTTTATCCTTTGGAATTTGCTCTCCCTTCCTCCCTCGAGGTACAGAATGTAGACGTGAAGATGGCTTCTATGTGACTTTCTGGTCCCCACAATTCCTATTACCTGTTGGCACTGGAATATTTTTTGACACAAAGAATAACGAGGTTGAAGGAGGCCTTCATGAGCCTTTCATACCTTTTCTGTTTCCCTCCGGATTAGCTCCTGCATCTCCTCCTTCCAGCCCATCAGCTCCACAAACTTCTCCACCCCACTGATCACGTCTCCCAGCAGGGCCACATCATTGTACTGTGGCTGGTACGCAAATGGTCCCACCAGCTCTCGATTGATCAGCACACGAGGAATAGAGCTGCGGACTGCATCTGCCAGACTGGCAAAGGGCTGCACCTAAAAAAAATCCCCCCACAAGGAGCAAAGAAACAGAGAGCTTCATCCAAGGAGTGGAGGTCAGCAGGGGAGTCCAAAGCCCACACAAAATGAATTCACTGTACTCCACAAACTGAACCTCAGGGACTCAAAATGCAGGGTCTCAGAGGACCCCAAACCTCGCAGCCTGACTCTTCCGTATTACACAGACCCTCTTTTAATAACAAAATTTATACTGCATCTCATAACCTGGGCAAACTGGCTGAGAGGAATATCCCAGACAAAAGCTATTATCTACTGTACCCCCTGCTGGCACATCACTGAATTGGCAGGGGGCATCTCTCCAGCAGAGTCCACCCCAGTTATTACTATTACCGCCTCAAGTATCCACAAAACTCATCTCTTCCATCCCCAGAGGTCCATCCCCACATCCTTATCCTGAGCTCCATGGACCTTGTCTAGCTGCCTTTTGTTTCCATATACCCCCACACAGAGTCTGAGTACTCCGCTTCTCACCCTATGTCCTCAAATTCCTCTCTTCATTTTCCTGATCCCTGAACCCACCCCCCCATTTCCCCCAAAGCCCTGTTCAATTTTGCACTATTTGCCTGAGTCCCAACGTCCTGAATCCCCGTAGCCCTCTCATGATCTATGTCACAGACCTCGAGGGAGGTTCCAATGATAAAGAGCACATCTGCCATGGGGAAATCTGTCACGTGCAGGAAGAACCGGTGTGGGAGCTCCTCTCCAAAGAACACAATGTCAGGTTTGATGAGTCCAGTGCAGACTGGGCAGTGGGGGATTTTGTCTGCCATCACATCTCCCTGAAACAAGAAAACCCATCAGCAGCCACATGCTTTACCAGGCAGCATGGCAACTCCACCATTACATCTTCCATCCATCCCACAAGCACACATGGGTTTGCCATCATATCACATCGCAACAAAACAAAATTTGCCCTGGAACAGGAACCTTGTCTCGGCCATGAGGACAAGGTAACTGGCTTGCAGGATCCCTTTGAATTTGCTTCTGTTGTCTCTGTGTTGATGCCCCCGCAACTGCCACTCACCCTGAAGTCCTCACCCAGGTAGGATCTCCAACAGGCGGTACATGTGGCAGTGGCGAAGGTGCCATGAGCCTCCACCAGTTTATCAAGAGGGATCCCAGCAACTTGAACACAAGATGGAGAGAAGATCAACTCAGTACAAGGAAATTGAACCTACTGGCCCCAAATTCATTTGATGTTTCAACAGCCCCACTCTTGTATTCCACCCCATCTTGTCTTTTCCCTGCAGTCCATCAAGGAAAGCCAGGAAGGTGACACTCACCTCTTTCCAGCCCGTCAATGTTCTGGGTGTACAGACGCAGAAGGAGCCCCTTGTCATGCAGGAGTCGCAAGAAGTAATGGGAGTAGTTGGGCCTGTAATTGCCAGGGTACAACTCCTTGGCCAAAGTGAAAAAGGGCTTAGGATTGTGGAAGAAGTAGGCAATTTCAAAGATGGCTTCTGGATAGGGAATGTTGTACTGCTGAAGGTTACTGTACAGGCCACTTCCAGGAGACCTGCAGAGGGGACAAAGGGAACCTATCAGTCAGAATGCCACAGGAAAACAAACCCAGTACAGATGTTTCTAAAGACACCTACCCCTAGAGCGTGACATATGACACCTCTCAGAGAGAGAATGACCAAATTCTTGAGCCCTATCTGGTTGCTTTCTGCAGCTGAGGCAGGGCAAAGGAGCCTTAAGTGGGCAGCTGAGGATTTCCCTTGCATGTAAGAGGAACCCCCTCAGGTGATGTCAAACTGGCATCGCTGGCTCTACACCACCCAACTCCAGATCCCCTGATGTATGAGGCATGTTCAGGATTTGCTGAGGATGGGAAGGGCCACAGCAAGTGCACTGTGGTCCAGTGATCCTGGGCTGACGGAGTGGCCCCTGTTTCAACTCTAGTTTACGCCATGGCCAGACTGGCTCCTGGACAGCCCCAGAACTGGGGAACTGCAGAGGCAAAATCAAGCAATAAGCACAACTCATCTGGGCCTGAGGATCTGGATCAAGGTTTCATATGGAGTCTGAGCTGCTGAAGGGAGCACTCATCTTAACTGTGGCATTGTCCAAGCATGCCAGGGAAGGAGAAGCAGCAGACACGGTGATTTTTTAATGTAGTCTGAAATGCTGCTGGCATGCCACGAACTAGCACTAATGAGAAGGTGGTGGTGATGGCTGGAGCTGGGATCAGTACCCCCAGTACTAGTGAGAGGGAGAGGAATGGTAAGTGGCAGACCCCTGGTATTACCTAGGTTTGGAATATCATCAATTCCAGCTCTGGCTTGGCTCCAATAAGCATCTGTGAAAGGGGTGAGGTGTTACCTAAAATCTGGGATGCCGCTGGGTGTACTGATCCCAGCTCCAGCCATCACTACCATCCGGTGACACTCCTTCTTCTGAATTAATTCTGCCACATCCTGCAGGGTGAGCTTCCGGTTTCCACTGCCATCTCCTCCTCGGCCGATCCCAAAGATGCCTGTGGCAGCAGTGGATAAGGAAACCAGTCTGGCCCCCTGGATCCTTCTAGGAGCAGAAAGGAAACGCAGCAGGTAACAAAAGGACTTACGCTGCTCAGATGGAGAAAAACATCCCAAGTGTTTCCTAGGAAGCCAGGAACTAATCTTTCAATTGTAGGTTCATGTGCTATTGTTTGGTAATTCAGGGGAGAAAACATAGTAGCAGTTAGTATGAAGCCCCCAGGAGCACAATATATTCCTTTGCACTTACAGCCCCTTTCATACGAGGATATCAAAGCACTTAACAGACATTTATTATCTATTGTTTTATTGTGCTAGCACCCAGGCTTGGACCATGACCCCATTGTGCTAGGTGCTGTACAAACGTAGAACAAAACGTCAGTCTCTACCCCAAAGATGTTTTCAATCTAAATAAGACATTAAGCATCACAGCACCACCATGTGTGTATTTGGGTGGATTATGGACAAGGCACTGGGGTTAAGGGAGCTTTTAATCTCCAAATTAGTATACGATTCCCCATGGCTAATGCACACGGGAGCCCTTTTTGCATCCTGGTTGGCAACCAGAAAGCACTTAGGATTGTGTTTCTATGCTACTCTGACAGGGCTGCCCAGTTTAAGGACTGAAGAAACCTCAGCCCTCCCTGAATCCCATCCAGGATTCCCCCCCTTAGTAGAGTCCCTGTGCAGGTGGCAGACACCTAATTGAATCACTGCTCAGCCTTAAGTGCAGAAGAGGAAATGAGAATCTACAATCCATCACATGAGAAGAATATTGCCCCAAACAACCTAAGCAATGTTTGCTCATCCAGGGTGTGATGTTGCACTCCATATGATTTTATGAAAATATGCTAATGAGTGTAAATATAATGTAACTGGAATATGCTTCATGCAAAAGGTCTCTTGCAAGGTATCATTACAAAGCTTATAATCTACTGAGTGTTCATCCTATTTGTATGAATGAAACATTCTTGTATCTGAAACTAGAAATATGAAATATAACTCTGAGGTCCTATTGTAATTATGCAAAGTGTGGGCCATTAATGGTGGTTTGGAATCTTGATGGCTCCCATTAACCAGGACAATTGACTGTGGACGGCTCTGTTTACTTGCAAGCCTTCCTGTGAGTCAGGTCGGGAAGAATGAAGGCTTGGGGTCTCACAGGACAGGTGACCATGTCACCTGGTACTGGAATCCATCTTAAACCTGGTGCTTTTCCATTTAGAAGGAGGGGTGGGGAGCCAGAGAGACAAAAGATTACCGCCTTGTGCCAAAGCTATAAAAGGGGATGGGAACAGAACAAAGGGGGCTGCAGTCATAAAAAATCCCCTAGCTACCACCTGAGCTGGAACAAGGACTGTACCAAGGGAAAGGATTGGGCCCAGACTAGGAAGGAGTCCAGTCTGTGAAAAAAGCTTATTGGAACATCTCTGAGGGTGAGATTTCATCTGTAAACAGTTTCTTAAATGTATTAGGCTTAGCCTTGCATGTTATTTTGCTTGATAACTTACTTTGTTCTGTCTGTTATTACTTGGAACCACTTAAATCCTACTTTTTATACATAATAAAATCACTTTTGCTTATTATTGAACCCAGAGTTAGTGACTAATACCTGGGGGAGCAAACAGCTGTGCATATCTCTCTATCAGTGTTATAGCGGGCGCACAATTTATGAGTTTACCCTGTATAAGCTTTATACAGAGTAAAACGGATTTATTTGGGGTTTGGGTCCCATTGGGAACTGGATGTCTGGGTGCTAGAGACAGGAGCACTTCTTAAGCTGTTTTCAGTTGAGTCTGCAGCTTTTGGGGGACGTGGTTCAGACCTGGGTCTGTGTTTGCAGCAAGCTAGCGTGTCTGGCTCAACAAGACAGGGTACTGAAGTCCCAAGCTGGCAGGGAAAACGGGCTCAGAGATAGTCTCAGCACATCAGGTGGCAGTCCCAAGAGGGTTTCTGTGACCCAACCCGTCACACAGGGCGCTGACTCTGATCAGGGCAAAATCCAGACATGAGAGCAGAGCCCAGAGGTTCTTGGTGACTCCTAGTGGTGGTGATTATTAGGTCACAGAATCACTGAATGTGGCCTCCATGGGTTGAACATTGTCTTCACAAGAGCATGGGCTTTGCAGCATAAGACTAGATGTCCCATCTCTAGCAGTGGCCAATATTTCTCTTCAAAGCCTCTCTGCTGCTTGATCCACTCGCAAAGAGTTCCCATGGCAGCAGATACTGCACCAGCGTGGCTCACAGAGACAGAGAGCCGTGCATTTAGATGGTAAACACTGTTCTTAGCTCCAAGCTCTCAGCATTCTTTACAGTATCTGGTGAATTTAATTATAACAGTCTCATCTTCTCCTTCCTGGGGGTGAGTATTTCTGAGACAGTGAGAGAGTCTGATGAGTCCATAAGATAACAGAGCCCTGGTTTGTGGAGAATTATCAGGATTGTGCTCGAGAGTGACAGGGAACAGCACAAAATGAGAAAACAGCCGTACCTTGCTCCACAGGCAATTGCCATCTCTCCATGGCATTCCAGAGGCTCCCTCTGCAGGGAAGTTCCACTTGTGGGGATGAAGCCAGATCCCAAGGAAGCTAAGGGAAGATTTCTGCCCCCCATGGAGCCAACAGGCCTCCTGGGATGATTTCTCTGACTGCATATCCAGAGATTCTGCCAGGCTGAAACAAAACATAACAACCTGGACCAGCTGACAACGGTCCCTTAGAAAGGCAGGGCCAGGGGTGACCGGTTTAAAGGAATCTACCCAGAGTTATGGAAAGAACAGTCAGCTCCGTGCATTTACCAGGAATTATGGCATTACAAGTGACATCCTTTTTACATGCAGTATAGCTGTAGCCATGTTGGTTTCAGGATATTAGAGAGACATGGTGGGTGAGATGATACCAACTTCTGTTGGTGAAAGAGACCTGAAGACGAGCTCAATGTGGCACAAAAGTTAGTCTCTTTCTCCAACAGAAGTTGGTCCAGTAAAAGTACCTCCCGCACCTTGTCTCTCTATCACTCTTACATCTCATCTAAAAGAGGGCACCTCCAAATCCACAGAGCTTCCTAATGGCACACTTGGTACAAGCAAAGCCGGTAGCCCATGCCATGCAAACTCAGCGCCTGGCTCTAACACCGAGAAACCCCTGAAAAGCTTGAGTCTCAGGTGAAAAGCCTGAGACCAGCCAGGTATGGCTATAGATGTAACATACACTCTGCCTTACACAGTATGTCACTGCCAGCAAGCTCCCCTCCCCACATGCTACAAACTCATTTACTGTACTTTGCTCTCCCCAGTCCCCTCTGAACTCTGCTGCCCAAGCCACTCCACTCTCCCCCAGGCCCCAGCCACCTCTGAACTTTGCCAGCCAACTTACCCTGCCGTTCCCCTCCCTCTCATCTGAAGTCTTCCCAAATCCGCCTGCCCCCTTCCCTCTGATCATTTTCACACTCCGCCCCCCGAGCCCGAATATGCTGCTTACCCGTGAATCCCTGAAGACTCGCAGCAGGAAACACATTTCTAACAGCCGCGACTCTGAACCGTAACCCCAGGCTCATTCCCCTGCCCTTGCCCTGTAGCAGAAAGTGGAGACTTGTGCGATGTGGATGAGAACGAGTGAGGTGCTGTGGCTGCTTCCCTGCTTTTCCCCACACCCCGACGACTAAGTGACTGTCTAGTTGCAGGGAGCATGGCACGGGGCGGTCACTATCTCCTGCATCCCCCTGGGACTCGCTGCACTAGTGACCTGGAGGCTGGAGAAGGGGGATCTAGGGCACAGGGCAAAGCACCAGCCTGTTTGCTTAAGGTGATCCTGAGCCCGGCAGAACAGCTGAAAGGGTTTACCACAATGTCCATAATAGAAGAGCCCACAGCAGTTCATACTAGAATAACCGTAGCTTGTATTTTTATAGTTGCTGTCACTTATACACAAACTGTGTATAGTGGGATCGTACACCTAACCACTGAAATGGAGTAGAGCACAGCAGCCTTCATCTCTAGCTACACTATACAACAGTGTCTTTAGGTCAAGGAATGACTATGATTTTATTGCAAGTCTTGGGATATTTGAGCAGTCCCAGCTGCTGGAGACAAGTGATGAGGTGAAAATTCAGCTTTTTTTTAAAATACATTTCTAGCCCTCATGATAGTGGAGAAAGGCTTGAACATCTGACCTGAGAGCACCGTAAAAGCCCCAAAAGCAAAAGGCAAATAAAAAGAAACCAAAATGGTTTGTTTTCAATCTCATGATTTTGGGGGCCCAGTTTATGATTTTCAAACATGTACAGTTGGCAATCCCGAATATAGGTCCTGCAAGAGGCGATATCCTGGATGGGAAAGTGTCCAGGACATTGTAATTAACACCAAATCTTTCAAAATGTGCCATGGATCTTTCATGACCATGCGTGCTCTGAACCTTGATGTTATCTAAACGGTGACAGCTCCAGCAATTCAGTGCCCTCATACTGTAGCATTGGGCACTGTTCCTATCATTCAGGTATCACTGTCACCATTCCTAATTTAGGCCTGAAATTAGGCAGCCTATTGATCCATTTATCAGTGCCCCAATAGCTCCCCTTGCATTGGTTCCTATCCATTTTATCATCTACCGAAATTACTCAGAGATCCGCACCTGCAATTCTCCTGCTGAGCCATTATTTTCCCACTGTAAACCTGTGTATTTGATTATCTCTCCCTATGTGAAATTGCTGAACCTCATTTTACTGATTTTATGCCATTTAAAAAATGTATTTAGCTCTTACTCTATTTTAATTCTGTCATACAACAGTATTTGCTGCCCTTTCAAACATCTTTGTATTTGTCCACTGCTGCCATTACTATACTCTCCCCTCCATCCATTGAATTGTTAATAAATGCACTAGGATTTCCTGCTTTTTAGCAAAGGAAGGGATGGAGGCCAAATCAACTGTTTCTCTGAGGTCACTTCCCCCAAAGTTGGGGAAATGTGGATTTTCAAGTAAAAACCCTATAATTTGTTTATTTTAGTATGACTTTCAATTATCTTCATGGTAGTGGTTGGCCTTCAGAGCAGGGTGCCCATTGGGCAGGGATAGATGAGAATGGGGTACTTTAGTGAAGTGCTTAAAGTGGTCTGAAAAAAGTGGGACTCTATCATTATCTGGAAGCAGCAGCTTTGGTAAGACGGTGCATAAAGGGCCACCCTCAGCAGCTCAGCTTAATTTTTTTAGGGGGGCAGGTCTGTGACCCCTTGTGACCCCCCCACACTGTATGAACTGGTGGGTGCACCGTCCTTCAGAGGCTTTTGAAAAACATTGCTACCCTAAACAGAATCAGTGGTGACTCCAAATTGCTACGGTTACACTTTTGGGGGAAGGAGGGTAGGAGAACTTCACTGTTGAATGCAGTAACACGTGTTTAGCAGGGGGAGGAGGGAGTCCCGAGAGCCCAAAGCCGTGTCCGTGACATGGTCCCAACTGGTCTAGAGATCTCCGAAATGTCGTGGCGCTGAGACATGGCATCCCCACGCCATGGCGCTTCGATGCAATGCGCTGGAAGGACGGGCCACGAGTTAGTGTTGGCCAGCGGCGCTTGGCGCAAGGCCCTTTGGCCATGCCATGGCGGCACGTGGAGGAGCGGCTGTGATGGTGCTGGGAGGGGAGATGGGCTGCTGGAGATGGAAACACCCGCCCCGTGGGCACGGGCTGCTCGTGTCCCCTGGATCCCGTGGCACGTTCCCTGGAGCTGTGGGGGTCAGAGCCGCTCCAGGCAGCTCCCATCACTGCTCCGCGCTGCAGGACCTAGGCCTAGGCCGCGCCCGTTGCCATGGCTACCAGCGAGCACCCCTGCGCCCGCACCAGGCCAGCGGGCCCAGGACAGGCAGCGGCTCCTCCCCCTCCAGGGCGGGGTTTCGGGACTGCAGTACGCGAGGCCATACGGTACCCGTCATGCCGCGCGCGCGCACGCGACGGGGGTTCGTTACCGGAAGTGAGTGTGCAGTTCCGGCGGTAGTAGCGGGGTGGCCTGGCCTGGCCTCCTGCTCCTTGGGGTTCTCTCGTCTCGCTCCCCCCGCCCCGCTTTCACCCCCTTCCCCGCCCGCCATCATGAAGGACGTGCCGGGCTTCCTGCAGCAGAGCCAGAGCTCCGGGCCGGGCCAGGCCGCCGTGTGGCACCGCCTGGAGGAGCTCTACACCAAGAAGTGAGCGGGCCGGGACCAAGGGAAGAGGGGCGGGGAGCCCCGCACGGGGGAGAGGACTGTGGGGAGGCCGGGGGCTGCTCGCTGCTGTGGGGTGGGGCGGGAGTGGTTCCGTCCCCCCGGGCGAGCTGGGGCCTGCGCTCTGCCCCGGTGCTGAGAGGCTCGAGCGCTTTGCTTGAGGGCTGCTCCATGAGCTGGTGTTGGGGCTCTGCCCTCCTCCGCCAGGAGACCCCCCCAGGGGAGCAAATCCTGCACCTCTGTGCAGACCGCCCTCCCACCCCCGGTGCACTTACCTGGGGGGTTCAGTGCAGCGTCAGAAGCGCACCTTTGCTCTGACATCTCCACTGTAAATGGGTTACACTGCAGGGGTTCCCAACTGTGGCTTGGGATCCAAAAGTGGGTCGTGACCCCATTTTAATGGGGTCGCCTGGGCTGGTGCTAGACTTGCTGGGGTCCAGGGCCAAGGCCGAAGCCTTTGGGCTTTGCCACCCCCCAGCCCAGGGTGTTGGGGCTATGGGCAGGCTCGGGCTCCAGTCCCCCCTCCTGGTAATTTTTGTTGTCAGAAGGAGGTCAGGGTGCAATGAAGTTTGAGAACTGTTGGGTTACAGGAAATGATGGTGCTCAAGAAATGCAATCCCCCTTGTAGTAATGCCATCCAGTACTCTTCAGTTAATGTCATATTGAAGAGACACCTTTAACTTAAAAACCACACTTATCTGATATCTTTTACTTATAGTAGTTACAAAAAACGCCTAGGATAATTATAGCAAATTTGAGATGCTTTTTCAGTTTTATTTTGTTTGACCGCACTTTATACATAGTCAGTTTCATTGTTTCTCTGTTAGTGATTTTCACCTGTTTGTCGGTCTTGCTCACAGCAACAACAGAGAGAAACCTAATTTTAAAATATAGGAAAATATGGTTGTTGAAACTACAAAAATTGTCACGGATTGAGGAATGCATGTAGAACATGAAACCATACTTCAACTTTTTAAAAATAATTGACAGGGTTTTGAAATAGGCTAGAAATTGGTGGTTCCCTGTGATTTCTTGCTGCCTGTTTCTTCATGTGTAAGAGGAAAGTAGTGTTTTCCCTTGGAGGGTGTTTTGAGGGTTGATTCATACTTCTTATGTGCTTTGAGATCTTTTGCAGAAAGCTGCACTCAGTTTTTACTATTCCTCTGAACTATACATGCGGAAAAAGTTGAACACTATATTTTTTTAATTGAAGTCTGGTCTAGAATAGTTATAAGCACCAGGCTGATGGTCCTGGCCAGCTGAGGTCTTTAACTTTTTCAGAGCTAGTGCTGAATTGAGTCATAAATGATCCTTTATATTGGTCCTTATGGATTAATTGAAATTAGCTTTATAATGTTTTCCTCTGTATTTCAGTAGGTGTCTGTCTGATAGTATTGCTTATTGTACTGATGCTTGCTGATGCCAGGGGCCTCTTTGTTTTTGTTTTTTCAGACTCTGGCACCAGCTGACTCTGCAGGTGTTGGACTTTGTGCAGGACCCCTGCTTTGCTAAAGGAGATGGCCTCATCAAGGTGAATAGGTTGATTCTTAAGCAAGTGTCAGTGCAAAGATGACAGTGTGAGCATTCTTGGGCTGATATAAAATAGGTGTGCAAAGGCCTGCCAAAACATTGTGGGATCAGAAAATATGCTTTAAAACTTCCTAACCGCACCCCATCTATTTGGAAGGGTCTGAATATTTATAAAAATGTCAACAAATAGATACAATTTATTAGTATTAAAAGTTTATGGATTGGACTTTGGGCATAATTTGGCCATGTTTTATAAACATTCTAAAGCGTGAAATGGGTTAGGTAAAATAATGGCGCTGTAATGTAAGGAATGGAATGAGATGTGTTTCAGGTCTTCACAGGTCTTAGTTTGGTTCACCTGTGTTTTTTTAAAAAGGCTTTTCTTCAGTCTTGGCAACAAAGCGGTTAACTGTGTGCGCAGAGTGGTTTTCCTGAGAGTTCACAAACTCAGGTATCAGTGCAGATTTCATTCCTCTCTTCCAACTTAGGCATATTGTCATCTTTAAGAATGCAGCACACAAATATCTGAACTTGCATGAATCTAGGTACTCCTGTGATTCATTTCTGCTCATTTCCTTCTTCTTTGCATTTTTATATCAAATTATGATTCACCAAAAAGACATTGACATCAGTGAGGAAAGCCCTGAGCTTATGGACATGCTCTACATGTTTAGAGTGGGGTGTGTAGAGAAACCTGAAATAGCTAGGCTTCTATTGACTGTATGGATACTTAGTGGAATAGAGGCCCCTCACAACAGAGAGGGGTAAACAGACCTAGGTAACCCCCTCTTGGTAGAGACTAGTCTTGTCTCATGAATCTATTAACTGGTGAATCACTCTCCACAGTTGGGAGGAGATCCTGGAGACTGCTCTCCATAAGATGAGCAATTTTTGGCTTCTGTAGTCTAGTGTCAGTACATTTTAGATACCTCCACCTATGGGTACAAAATTACTTTGAGGGAGGAGTTTATATTGAACGATGGGCAAGTTGCCTATTTCACTATAATGAAATATTCTGTCACTAACTGGCTGTCACAATTTTTTTTTACCGCCCACAGCTTTATGAGAACTTCATCAGTGAGTTTGAACACAGGTGAGATTGACTACTTGTACATAAGTTTGTAGCTTGTGCACTCTTAATTTTAACTGTTCTGATGCCATGTTGTTCATTTCAGGGTGAACCCTTTGTCCTTGGTAGAGATCATTCTTCATGTAGTTAGACAGATGACAGGTGAGTAACTTTTCTAGTATTAATGGTGACTTTTTAGGGCTATTAGGCCTAGGGTTTAACTGGCTGATGGCAACAGCCAAGACTTCAATGTGAAAATGAGGCAACTGGTTTGCACAATATTGAAAGTAAAAAGCATAAACTCATAGAATTTTACAACTAATGGTGAAATTACTGCTGCAGAAGGGACCTTGCTGGAGAGATGGCTGATGCATTTGGAGCCAGATCCTCAGCTGGTGTGAATCAGCATAGTTCGTTTACTTCAGTGGAGGTATGATGGCTTTTACCGGCTGAGAATCTGGCTCTGAGTTCTGTGGAGCCAATCAAGGTACTTTCTTGTGGTAGGTTCAAATATTCTGCTGTTTGGATCCTTAATATGCTTTCCTTCTTGCTCCATGTTAGATCCCAATGTGGCCCTTACTTTCCTGGAAAAGACTCGAGAAAAGGTATTTGTGAAATCCAAGTTTTTTCCTGTTGGCGCACAGTTAAATAAAATAGCTGCTGCTTTTTATTGTAGGTCTGTGCGAGTAGATATGTTTACATCTGTGTCTATATTGGAGAAGGCATATTCTTCAGTACATACAATTCTCTGTGAACAAGCCAACATGGATTTGGATTTGGGAACACAGCAAGAAACACAACCTAACTAAATTAGCACTTGTTATGCTTTAACTGTCAGTAGTTGTCTGCGTGGTTGGAACAGTTCTGTTTTTCTGATGTGTAACTGTTTTGTGGTTGCAGGTGAAAAGCAGTGATGAGGCTGTGATTTTATGTAAAACAGCCATTGGGGCTCTGAAGTTAAACATTGGCGACCTACAGGTCACAAAGGTGAGATTATGTTGGCATTTAGGTTTTGTCTGTTTGAGCGCACTCAATTCATCTGGATGCCCATGTATTTCAGCACTTGCTTAGCCTTTAGAGGCAGCCCCTCTCTTTCTGTGTCTGTTGAATTTTGTGAATTTAAGTTCATCTGTAACCTCTCTTAGGCAGCATGGGCAAGTCTCCTGGAAATCCAGCTCTATTTGGAAGGCTGGAAAGTGTTTGCTTAGTTCTGATAACACTGGCTGTTCCTTCTAGTGTTGTTCCTTTAGCTGAGATGCTAGTGGCATATACTTCTAGTGTATGACTATCCTCACTAATGACCCATATGAAGCCAGATCTTCAGCTGGTGTGAATCAGCAGCTGCCTCTGAGAAGGGCTAGAAAAACCCTTGAGTTTAACCCTTCTGTGTCTCGGACTGCAACTTCGGGGTGGTTCTACGAATTTAGCATCATGTATGTGGTTTGGCAAAGAGCTAAGAAGTATTGTATATCTGTATTTAGCTTCTTGGTTGACCTTTTTGGGGGGGGGAGGGAGCTTACTGATATTATAACTGTGGGTTGGAGCGTTAGGGTAAGAGGGAATCCACTTTGACAGATGGTTTTTCCAAAGGAAGTTGTGGAATCCCCATCATTGGAGGTATTTAAGAACAGGTTGGACAAATGCTGTCAGGGATGGTCTAAGTTTACTTGATCCTGTCTCAGCGTGGAGGGCTGGACTTGATGACTTCTCAAAGACCCTTCCAGCCCTACATTTCTACTATTATTAGGCAAAGTTGATATATTATTTTCACCAACGTGAGCCAAATGGGGATCCTTCAGTTGTTCATGTTCTTGTATTAATGGAAATATGAAGTTTCAAGGGTCAAGAAGTGCACTCACTGACCAGTGTTTGTAAATATGAATGAGACTTTTTGGGAGAAAGGGGGGAGTCTTGCTTTATTTCAAATGCTGTTACTAATGTTCTCAGCTGCACTCTCATCTGATTCACTCTGGATGGGATTTCTGAACCAAACGTGTGAATATAATTTGTGATAAGCTGTAAATTTCAAGACTAACTAAAATAGTGAGTGGCGGAGGTGAAAGGTACAGATGTGTATAAAATGTCTGTGTGTCAAGAGTTGGACTTTCTCCTTTCTTTAGGAGACCATAGAGGATGTTGAGGAGATGCTGAACAATCTCCCTGGGGTGACATCTGTTCACAGCCGTTTCTACGACCTTTCCAGCAAGTACTACCAGACAATTGGGAATCATGCCTCTTACTATAAGGATGCACTGCGGTTCCTGGGCTGTATTGATGTCAAGGATCTGCCAGGTAAGTCTGCCTCCTTGTGCCAGATATAGGGAACTGCAGTTTCCATGTTCATTCAGTTCTGGCCTATTCCACCAGTGTAGTCCAGCTGTAGGCACGTAGGGAAGTCAGCTTTCCTCAGCATTGTTGTATTATATAACTCCACCATTATCCTAGTAGAGTCCACCCAGAGAGATGAATTCTGCTTGCTCATTCATCTCAGGGCTACTGTATCCAAGATGTATGGGGGTGGGGAGACTGTCAGTAAGGTAGGGGAGAGTAAATGACCGTTTCCCAATTCTTGTGATCTCCTTTGCGTAGCTGATATGGTAAATGATGGTATTCCTCTGAATTTCCAACCGGGGAGGGGCTCTGCTGCAAGCAGATCACTGAGGTGGTCAGTGACCTCAAGCAGTTCAGACCCTCAGGCTGCACCGGAGTGGATTTCTGTCACACACTGGTTCTTGCAGCCTCCAGTATTGGCATGGAACTGCATTTTACGTGGATTAAGATTAGATTTGATCATGTTTGCAGTCTTGAGTAAATGTGGAGGTGATGATGACCAAAAAATCTGAGAGAGATCATATACACATACTGAAAGAGGAAGGAGCAATAGGGTTGAAGCTGTCGCTTTACACACACTATTCTTCCTTGCAGTGTCAGAGCAGCAGGAGAGAGCCTTTACCTTGGGGCTGGCAGGACTCCTAGGAGAAGGAGTTTATAACTTTGGGGAGCTGGTAAGTAGACTCTGGGTTGTCTCAGCTGTTGAATGATGGAAATTGGTTATAGTTGGTCAATAATGCTGTCCTGACTTATTTATCACAGCTCATGCACCCTGTGCTGGAGTCCTTGAGAAACACTGACAGACAGTGGCTGATTGACACACTTTATGCCTTCAATAGTGGTAATGTAGAGAAATTCCAGGCTCTGAAGACTGCCTGGGGTCAGCAGGTGAGTGAGTGAGGTGGGAAACACAACACAACTTCATGGTGCCCTGATAAATGCATAGACATCAGTTAGAATAATAAAATAATGTGGGAGTACAAAGGGACAGAGTTGAGGATAATATACAATCCATAACTCTAGTTTTCCTGACTTCAGTCCATGTAAAATCTCCACCATAACGTTTCTAACAGCACCTTCCCACCATAATTAGATTGATTAGAATAAATACATGAAAGTAAATATAAAGGATGAAAGAAAAAGTCTTCTGTAACCAAGGAAGATTTCATGGGTCTGCTGGGGCTCTTGCTGTGCCAATCTAACTTACCTGGGACACACTTAAATATCATTTTGAAGGTACTATGGAAAACGCTAAAGAGAATGCCTCTCACATTCCCGAAACACTTGCAAAGTAATGATTGTCAATACTAATATTTCAGTGATTATGCAGGAAGCTGTCAATACGGCAATAGCTCCCAGAGATCTTTATTGTCCATCTAGATAGCCCTTAGTTAAGGACCATGATTTTGCATATCATGCAGAGGATAGCATTTAACAGTACGCCATCTCCTTGTTAGCGCTATATGGAGTGGTGAGCCAGTACTGGGTTTGAATCCAGGGCTTTTTAGCAGAGAAGCAAGACAGATGAGAGGGTATTTACCCTCTGTGTGGCTCATTTTTAGTGCACAGGATGTAACTTAAAAAAAAAAGAAAGAAACAGAAGAAAAATTAACTTTATTCATGGACAGCTGCTTAATGTTTTTGTTATCTCACAGCCAGACCTGGCTGCAAATGAAGCTCTTCTCCTGAAGAAGATCCAGCTGCTGTGCCTCATGGAGGTAAGCTGCTAGCTGAGACCCTGATAGGGCACCCCAATTGTCTGTTATATGTGTCTGGAAGGTGTCCCCATGATTAACTTCCCTGTAGTGTCCAAGTAGATTCTGTTTGTGAGTTGAGAGCTGTGTGCATGGTGCTTTCAGTCTACTGCTATTTTATATAGTTGCTCTTTAGATATAAATCACTAATGGTGGCATTACATGATTTTGCCTATTGATGGTGCTCAAAGACAAGTGCTGCTGGAAGAAAGTGCCAGTAGATGTTAGTAAGAGACAGCAAGAGCCAAAAAGGTTATGTTTCCAAAGACAGCATCTGAAGGGATGGTTCTTAAACTATGTCCCAACATAACTGCCTAAAGAACACCCAAATTCTCGCCTCAAATGGATAAGGGTTGAAAACCCTCCCCATGCAAGGAAATCCTTTAACATCTAAGACACAGAAATGCTTGTCCTGGCATTCCTTCCATGTACAAGGCCTGGTTTCATTGTCACCAATGGGTATGGGTAACCCTAATCTGTTAAAAGCCCCGTCGGTGGTGCTGTCCAGCTAAAGCAGGCTAGTGCCTACCTTTTCCGATACCGCGCGCGGCCCCCGCCCCAAGCACCAACTCCACACTCCCATTGGCTGGGAACTGGAGGGGGGGGGCATGCCTGTGGGCGAGAACTGCGCGGAGCCGCTTGTGCGCCTCTGCCTAGGAGCCAGAGCTGCTGCTGGCTGCTTCCGGGGCGCAGCGCAATCCGCGGTGCCAGGACAGGAGGTAAGCCTGCCTCTGCACCCCGTCTGCAACGCTGACTGGGAACCGCCGTAGGTAAGTCCGTACCCCAATCTCCTGCCCCAGCCCTGAGCCCTCCCCAACCTGGAGCCCCTCCTGCACCCCAAACCCCTCATCTCTGGCCCCAGCCCAGAGCCCTGCCCCCCTCCTGCATCCCAACCCCCTGCCCCATCCCTGAGCCCTCCCAAACCCGGAACCCCTTCCTGAACCCCAAACCCCTCATCCCTGGCCCCAGCCCAGAGCCCTGACTCCCTCCTGCACCCCAACCCGAGCCCCCTCCCACATCCTGAACTCCTCATTCCTGGCCCCACCCTGCCGCCCTCACCCCCGCACCCCAATCCTCTGCCCCAGCCCTGAGCCCCTCCCACACTCCAAACCCCTCATCCCCAACTCCGTTGGGTCACAGGCATCAACAGTTTTCTTCAACTGGGTCCCCAGAAAAGAAGTTTGAAAACCACTGGTCTACTGGTCCTTAAACACTTGCAGTTATGCCAATAACATGATGTGCATGGAGAATTTCCATCTTTAGGATTAGAATCTACTTTGTCTTTGAGCGATTGTTTCTTAGGGAGCCTACTGTTTGGGGAGGTAGATGGGGGGTGGGGAAGTGACTGCTGCTTACTTTAGCATCTTCAATAAAGCAGTCTTTTTTTAAAAAATAGAGGGAGAACTAGCTGCTGTTGGCCCTTTGTTATCAGGGCCTCTGATTTGCACAGGTAGAGATGAGGTTCAAGTCTGCAGGTACATCTACACTGGAATAAAAGACCCTGCGGCATGACTGTGGCCGGCCCGGGTCAGCTAGCTTGGGCTGTGGGGCTAAAAATTGCTGTGTAGACGTTTAGGCTTGGGATGGAGTCTGGGCTCTGGGACCCTCCCCCCTTGCAGGATCCCAGAGCTCAGACCCCAGCCGAACATCTGCACAGCAATTTTACACCCCTGCAGCCTGAGCCCCCTGGGCTAAAGTCCGCTGACCTGGTTCAGCCATGGGTGTTTAATTGCTGTGTTGACATACCTTATGGCTTCTGGAGGACAGTACTAGGGAGACTCAGTACATCTTGGGAGAAGAAATCTGAAGAGTGCTGATTTTCTGCTTGCCTTTAGATGACTTTCACCCGACCAGCCAATCACAGACAGCTCACTTTTGAAGAGATTGCTAAAAGTGCCAAAGTCACCGTGAATGAGGTGAGTTGTGTTAATGCTAATGATGACAATAAGTAACTTGAATGTGAGGTTCCTAACAGTATCCGAGGAACAGATTCATTTCTATATGTTGTCAAATAGTGGGGGGGGAAATTCACTGCATTAATGTTTGTGAATTAACTGCAAAGAATCCTCTGGCTGTAGAGGAAGAATGAATTGCCATCTCCTGCCCTCTGTCTCAGACACAGGTAGCCCTCGCATTCCTTAGTAGAACAAGCTCACACAGTTTTAATTCCTGTGGATCCAGATGTTTGTATAGAATGCTGCTCATCTTGGTCAGAGTGATCTGTCGTGGAGATAGTTGCCTTGTGCCACTTTTCAGTTTCGTTTTGTGCTGTGGCGAACAGTAGTCTAGTGACTGGATTATAAGATGACTCAATTTAAAAGAATTGGGGAGTCTTTGTGAAAAGTGACTGGTTCTTAATCCCTTTCTTCCTATCTTCAGGTGGAACTGCTGGTGATGAAGGCTCTCTCAGTAGGGTTAGTAAAGGGCAGTATTGATGAAGTGGATAAGAAAGTGCACATGACCTGGGTCCAACCGCGTGTGCTGGATTTACAGCAGGTAATGTCAGCTGAAATACTTAACCAATGGCAACTCACCTTCTTTTCGATCTGTGATTGGCCTGAATACTGACATGAGAGCTATTAATAAGATTGTAGTACTCAGACCTTGGCTCTGCCCATTTCTTGCAATGGTTTGGAGAAGAGAGTTAGCAAAGGTTCCCCTTCCAGAGGAAAACATTATTTGAAAAGTTCTCCCTTCACAAAATAACAAGACCTTGGTTTCAACCCAGATATCCATAACTAACCTTTGCAGTTGTACTTGCAAGCCTTCCTTGGGAACATGATGGATGGAATAAGTGTGTCTGAGATTCTGAGAATAGGGCCATGCAAACAATAGGCACATCACACATGCACACTTCATATAAATTGACAAAAACTTGGGTTAATATAACAAATTTTAAATTTAATGAAGCGAAAACTGAAGATTTCAGGTTAATAACTATGCCATGTTGCACATCCTCTATATCTGAGACCTTACATCTAACAGGGATTGACTTTGGAAGAAAGGTTAAGCGCTAGTCTCCCAGGGTTGGTACCTCATCATTTGGGGCCTATGACTTTGCTTTGAGTGAAACTGAAATGCACGTTGCTGTCCTAATGAGACAATATCACAGCTGATGGACTGCTTCATTTTATAAAACTTAAAATGATTCTCCCTTAAAATTTCCTCCCTTATTATCCTCATTTTCTAAAAGCTTTCTCAGAAACCCACATACTTAGAATCTTGGAGTCCTATCACACCATATGATAGTCCTATCCTCACCACACTTGAGGTCAAGTTTGGGATCTTAATGTCCCATGTTTAGGGCCCTACCAAATTCACAGTCCATTTTGGTCAATTTCACAGTCCTAGGATTTTAAAAATCATAAATTTCATGATTTCAGCTTTTTAAATCGGAAATTTCACGGTGTTGTAATTGTAGGGATCCTGGCCAAAAAGGAATTGTGGGGTGGTTGCAGTACT